AAATTTATCGGTTTCAAAAACCACGGTTTTCAAAAATTTTCGGTTACGGTTTTTAGTTTCCAGTAATAATTTTTTTTTTTTCAATGGTATCGAGAGTCGATGGAGGTTGTTGGACGTTGGTCGCAGTACTTCTTCCCAATAAGTCACACTACTTCGCCCCTTCCAGTAATATCTATAGACCTGATTTGTATTATCTATTACCTATTAAGGGGAAAGGGCCTGAGCCTCAGGGGTGGCACTGTCTAAGGATACAGATATATTGGGTTCTGATCAAGGGATTGTTAGGAATATATAAATAAATATTATATATACATACTCAATAAAGGTATATTATGGTATTATACATATATTTTTAATAACATTGGTAATTTGTATCACCAATTGCCTATAGGAAATAAATAATAATTAATAAGTACCTACCTAATAACATATTACATGCACACAAATACAATATATTTTTGTATGTTGCAGTAGTTAAGACACTCAGTAAGAAATACTAAATACATGTACACTATATATTAGATATTATATTATATTATGTAATACATAATATCTTCTTTCTTTTCAATATAAATTATATAATATGCCTTATGTCTGGGAGGGGGGGATTATAAAAAAAATATGTGCTACGTAAAAAATACAACTGTTTTAATGCACTTTCCATAGTAATAGGAACTTAAAATTTAAACCATAGCTTCCTTAAAATGGTCTCATGCGATTAATGATAACTGCGGTCTGCGGGACAGCGGGACGGACGCGGATCAGTCGAATACGAAAATACAATTCTAATTAAATAATAATATAGACGAATTCTTCAAATAATAACAATTTACAATACAGATGTGCATAGCCACGCATAGGGGCGATAAAAATAACAATTGTGATATTTGTATTTTAATTTAGAATCAACAAATCTAGTAATAAAATATAGGTAGGTAGTATAAATAGAATAATATTCGTCATATCGTATTATTAATATTTCGTAATACTCAGTAATAGCATCGGGAATTTTTCATACATATTAATTCAAATATAATATTCTCTTCGTAGAAAAATACTTGTTTTAACTAGAATTAATAAAAATAAAAATTTAAACAATCTTAGAAAATTCTAAGAAACCGATATTAGTTTTAAATGTTAATCGGTTTTGAAGAACGGTTTTAAAATTTTTTGGTTACGGTCTGGGTATTATAAATGGTTTTTTAAATTCTTAGGTTACGGTTCTGGTTTTCTAACCGAGGTTTTAAAGCTCTTGGTTTCGGTTTCGGTTACGGTGTTCAAAAATGCAAAAACCGCGGTTTTAACCGGTTTTTCAGAAAACCGGTTAAACCGGTTTCTGTCCCTGCCAGGAATACGAAAAATTTTTCTTTATGGTGCTCAATGACCAATACCCAGTATCTAGGTTTTGTCGATAAGAAGATTGGTCTTTTGGTTTTGGCAGTGGTGGTATGATTGTGAGGATCATGAGCGGTAGACGATGACAGTGAGGACGATTGATGTTTGGTCCCTTTGCTTGTGTGACTGCTCTTGGGGCATTTGTTCTTTACCAGGCGTTTAGCCTTTACCAGTGGTTTAAATTTTTTTTTTAGTGTTAAAATGAATACTAATTTGTTGATGCCCATTTAAGCGGACGTTGTTTTGAGGTTTTGCATCGTGTTTCGGTGGGTTTGTGGCCGAGGTATCTTATATTATGTGGGTACCTACTTTGAGTATGAGTTCTTGTGAAACATCGCAGAAGCCTGGTTGGTTTCCCTAATGGTTTTTAGACCTGCGGAGTCGCGTAGAATATAATTCCTGACGTACTTGGGGTTGCCCGATGTTTGGTCGACGAATATCGCCAGTTTATGTACTCTCTACCGTACCGACTAGTAAACACACTATATGCTGTCGCTCGGGTTGTGTTTCCCCTCCTGGTACGGTTTTCCTTATATCTCCACTGCTCCTTTACTCCTTCATCTATAGGGATGGTGGTTGTATCCCCGTATTGGATACAATCTCCCCTCTGTATTGGTACTACTATGGAGTCTGTGTATCGTTTGTAGCTGCCCGATAAGTTAGAGATAATTAGCATTGTCCGTGATAACTTTGCAGTGTGTCCCTTATTGCCTAACTGCACTGTTGTCACGTTGTGTGTTTTTGTGTTTTTGATAGAGCCATGAATTATTATTATGATCTTAATAATAATTCATGGCTCTATAAAGAGCCTTTCTGTGGTAGTTAGGGTTGCTCCGTAACAATATATTTTAATTTTTAAGACATTTTTCTTGGCCATACCTGTGGACAAATCCTATGCACGTCTATGATTCTAATTGATGTTAAAGGTTAAAATAATATATATACATTAGGACGTATTTAAAAATTATTATTTAATTTATAAATACGAATCTTCTATAATTGGTATAAACAAATAAAAGTAATAAATTCTAGATCTAACAAGATTGAACCTTCTATTTATATAAACTATATAGTATATTACATCCTACGCGTGATCACCAAATATTAACATTGTATGGGTTATGGCTATCCATATATTCTATAATCAATCGTCAGTGCTCATTGTGCGGACCGAGAGCGTACAATAACAATAACACCAACCTAGGGTCTTTACACCACTAACACCTAAGTCCTAGAAATATGGAGAACGAGCTGGGTGTGTAATGGTGTAATAGCTCGAACAGTTGAAGTGGTCTGTATCGCCTAGCAATTACTGTCGGCTATCTAGTGCGTGTTGTGTAATTATGTGTAATTGTGTATGAATGTGTGTATGTGGTAGGTGTGTATACAATTAAACAGATAGGTAACAAAAAATGGTGACAAGGTTTCTGGTAGGTAAGTTGATGTATAATACATAAATTTAAATAATAGCAGTACAAATATATAATAAAACTCACCGCAACACAAATGTATAAAAGATACAATAATAATAATAATAATAATAATAATAATAATAATAATAATAATAAATCACAGCCCTTATGGCCAACTAGGATAAAATATATTATATTGAACGACCCTTTTGGCCCAACCGAAATAATAATACCTACTAAGATGATAATATAAAAAAGCTATTTGAGGCGCTATACAAATAATGCGACCCTTCTGCTCCAACAATATATAATAATAAAGTTAATAATAATAAATGAATAACCGAAATAAAATATATATTGGGGCAGCTATTTGAGGTGAAGCTCGTATAAAATAATATGCGGCCTTTCTGGCCCAACAAAATAATAATAATTATAAAATATCTATAGCCCTTTTGGCACAGCAATTAAATGTGTATAATAAATAAATAATGAAAAAACTCACAGTTTGTGGAGCGCAGACTAGCTAGCTGGTCCTGTGCTATAATATGAATATAATACACGTAAAATGACAAAAATAATAATATGTATAATAAGTATTGCCCTTAACTGCTCACAGCAATAGAACTATAAAGATATAATAATTTTACGAACAGACGTATAATAGATTCGTGTCTGGTCACTGTTACGACGAAAAAATAACATTAACCCTTTACTATTAGAGCAAAAACGGAGTATTATAATGATTTTGCACACGTCAGTGATCGCGGTACGACGTATGATACGAGATAAAAATCACGTGCGATAACGCGGTGATAGTCAAAATAATTAAATATAATATAATATATGATATTATTAATAATATTACAGGTACTATTACATAATAACTCACTGGACACATTTAAATAATATATTATACAAAAATAAAACAATAATTACAATTGTGATTGTGTGTGTTTGTGTGACAAGCTGTTCTCCGCGACCGATATCCTATATATATTTAACTAGCTGATCCCGTGCACTTCGTTGCCCCGTTAAATGTATCAATTCTATATGTCTCAAAGTTTGTTCAATTCGTTATTTAATATTCGGTGTATGCGGTGTTCAAAATTAATCTTAACTTTTCCGTTGCCCCGAATAAAAATAGATCGCGTACCCTGTGCTGTTTGTACGTAAGTGTATGATTTAACTCTAAAGTATCAAAGTTATACCAAGTTTATCGTTTTTACTTCATTTCGCCTAAGGTGGATTATTATAATCATTTTATACAAAATCCTATCCTAACCTAACCGTACTAAAACCCGATGAAAAAAAAACAAATTTTACCCTTAGTAAATTAACCTATCTTCTTCCCATACGTCTAATCTACCCACAAACATTAATTTATATATATATATATATAACTATATAAATACACGGACTATAACTATACAGACTCTGGAACTACTTATTGGATCTTTTTGTATTTATTATATATATATATATATATATGATATATGTATACCTATTGACAAAAAATAATGATACAAATCAAAAACATGCCCGATTAACCAATAGCAACCGATATAATATAATACACTGGTGGATTTTCCTAACATTTTTTTTTCATATAAACCTTATCCATGAAATACTCTTTCATTAAAAAAAAAATAAAGAAGATCTGATAAGAAGCTCCAGAGATAAGTAGTACAGAGATTTTCATTTCACATTTTTATAGTTAGATATTATATTACAATTTATATTTAAAAAGTAAAGCAAATAGTTTTTTTTTTTTATTATTTTTATTATTGCAATAGCTTAAAAACCCATGGCAACCATTTATAAACAAAAATTTCCATCGGAAATCTCAAAATTCCCGTTTGAGCACCTCCCGGGGTTGGTCCTCTCCCTTTTTAAATTAGCCTATCTTTTAAGTTGGACCAAATTACACGCGGTGTAAAAAATTTCATCAAAATCGGTTAAGTGGTTTAGGAGTCCATTGAGGACAAACATTGTAACACGAGATTTATATATATTAAGATTTACATTATATTGCTATTTTATTGTTATGTTGCGGCGGCAACACTCATAGTCTAAGATACGGTTTTTAATAACACGCTTAATTGTTTGAGCGTATTATAGTCTGTTATTATATGGTTAGCGTGGTTCGTTGAATGAATTAGTTAATAGTTAGTTCGTTTATTTTACTTTAATATCATGGATACTGCAGTAGTACGAGTGGATGGTATGTACATATTTTTGTTAAGCTTTGGATGTACAATTTAAATAATATATAGACATATTGAAAAATGTAAAAATATATTATTTTATATTATTAATGGGTACCTACGGAAAAAAAGTAGTGTTTTATATTAGTTAAACCTTTCCTGCAGTAAACGATATTATATAATTTCAAATTTCGTTACTGCAAGTTGTGGCACAGCACTTAGTAGAACCTATTTTATATTTAAAAAAAATATTAAACTTGCACATCCGACATCCCAGCTTTCAAATTAGAGAAAAATTATAACGCACAATGCAAAAAATGAGTTTGAAAATAAACTAGGTATCCGAAAATTAAATTATAATATTGTCCTGCTAAAAATCTTTTTTGGAACATTGCGTAGCGGTCGCACTGTCGCAGCGTTGTTATCGGCGGCGCGGCGGTTGGTCAGTCAAATTGTATTCTTGTAATAGGTAATTATATTTATGAAATTAATGTATGGTTATTGATTAACTGAATACTGGTTATTCATTAATGTAATAGTCTGCCGTCTGTTGTGACGAAATAAAAATGTACAAAAATCCTAGCCATTTTTTTTTTCCTAGTTATTTATGTGGCTCAGCGCGGCGCAGTGGTTGAAATCAATCACTCATCTGCAATGGTTTCTAGAGAATATTTCGTTTTGTGTTAGTCCTCTAACGAACTACTCTCAACACATAAATAACAATGTATTAAAAGTCCTTTGTAATATGACATTTGCTATGTACTAGCGACTAACAAATCTATACGAATATATAAAGCTGTAGAGTTTGTTTGTTAGAACGCGCTAATCTCAGGAACTGCTGGTTCGAATTGAAAAATTATTGTTTTGTTGGATAGTCCATTCATCGAGGAAGGCTATAGTCTATATATAACATCACGCTACGACAAATTAAAAGAAGCCTGAGGAAGTGCTCAAACAGGGATTTTGTGATTTACTGTGGAAATGTTTGCTTATAAATGGTTGCTATTGGTTATAGGAGAAATAATTAATAGAAATAGTATTTATTTATTATTGGTTGCCATTGGTTAATCGGGCAGATCAGGTACAAGCATGCATCAAATCGAATTTAAGCACATTGCCAATCAGGGTGGCTGAGTTGCACTTACTGCAGTGAGTTACACCCTGCAAAAGGAGTTGAACAATCACAATTTTTTTAAGGGTTGTCATTTTTTTCGGGCCACAAAGTGCGCAGGACCAGCTAGTACATACATAATATTATGACATTATGTATAGGATATATATAAAAACACCATATTATGATTATAAACAGTCAGTCATTATCCTCGGGAAGAAAACTGTTATAATATACATGTCAAGCCTAACAGCAAAATAGATTGTCTTGCCACCTTGTGGAAAAAAGTAAAGTACTTTCCAAAATTCTACGAATAGGACAAATAGAATTTCGTTACGGGTAATAAAATACATCTAAATATTATAAATATACAATACCACAATAATTTAAAACACACAAAAGAATGAGTAGCGTTTTAAATTTGATTAACTGCGTATTGATAAATTACCATATTTATATACAGTAATATGTATTCTATGTACTATATACCCATATATATATATGGGTATAATATATTTAATATTACTATAATATACATATTGTTGTGATATTAAAAATTATGCACTATACTATCGATTACTCACAATATGATTATATGATATGGCATTTCCAGGACGGGCATGGTCTGTTTCCTTGAAAACACCCTGTTCCCTGATTTACGCATAGCACTTTTCCATCAAAAACGAAAAAGGTAAAATTCCCGTTTCCATCAAAATTTATTTTTGTGAAAATACGTTTCCGCCAAATTTGGGAACCATGTACAAATGTAATATATTTGTATCATTATATAATTGCATATCATATCACATATCCGTTATCCATTACCTATATTTAAATATTTCTATATTTCAAATTATACTACCAATAATAATTATTATACTGTCTTAAAAATATAAATTATAGTACAAGTAGATAATAATGTTTTTAAGTGCGTTTGGTCAGCCCAGCAGCTCCCCCCCCCCAATGAAAAAAATCCATAAACAAATTGCGCAGATATTTTTGCATTTTTACAATTCGCACGTATTCGCAAGCCTATTTTCAAAATTCGCACGAACTTCAAAAAACAAAACTAATAGGGGCTCAGCAACACTTCTCATCAGCCCCCCTCATAGTAAAAATTAAAATGTTTACAAATTTTTTTTTGAGATATTTTACGCTCAGAATCTAAAATGTAGGATAAACGGGAATTCTTAAGCAAGGTAATTTTCAACAAATAAACATCATCAGATATAATATTATATAATTTATACAATTGGTAGGTTGGTAGGTAATATCTGTATAGGTAAACCTAAATAGGGAACCATATATAATTTATTGCGCACGAGATATCTGTACCTACGTTTTCGATAAATTTGTCAAAACGTTCGTTTTCTTTGCTTCTATATGGGTCGGTTATTTTATTATTGTACTGTGATCATACCAATAATCATTCAATCCGTTTCGCCTTTCAGTCGAAGACACCTCGAAGGCAGATCGATGCGAAAAATTTGTTACGGGATGTGTTTGGGTATTTGTTGTCATCACTTTCCCGATTTCTATATTCTGCTGTTTCGAAGTTAGTGCGCTTAAAATTTGGAATTTACGTCAACGCAAACCCCTGCACTCTGTTGCACAATAACAGTATAATATATATGTTTTATTGTATCTGGCAGATAGTTCAGGAGTACGAACGAGCAGTAATATTTCGCCTGGGACGTCTGGTGTCGGGTATGGCGAAAGGGCCGGGTGAATATACCATATACATCAATATAAACACGCTAAATTATTTACAATCAATGAGCGATTTTCTCTTTCTAGGTATGTTCTTCGTTTTGCCCTTCATTGACGACTACACGCGTGTCGACTTGAGAACACAAACGTACGACGTGCCGCCACAAGAGGTATCGTATAAATCGTATAATATTATTATTATTATTATTATTATTATTATTTTTTTTTTATAAGTCTTGAGCTCTGGCAACTATGGCCTAATGGTTAGCCAATGCTATCGTAGGCGTTACGGTTGGTAGGTTTGGTACTGTTGGTAATGTTTGTACGGTTGGTTGGCAACGCGTGTATGTGTGACAAGGATTTTACCACTAAGAACCTGCGTGGTCACCCATCCGGGAACTAGTAGTAGCGGAGGTTGCTTACTATCAATCACGTTGCGTGACTGACAGGTGACAGCAACCATGCCACTCCAAGCCACAAAATATATTATTATAATATCAACGTTATTAGTTATTACAATATAATATTATACTCATATGGCCCCAATGGTCTAAATAATAATTAATTGTTAGAACAAAACTAGAACTAGGAACATTTAAAAATATTATGGAAATATCTAGGAAAAAAATGTTAAAGTGAGTTATGACTTATGACTGTTATTATGAGCATTACGCCATTACTGATAGACCATAGTATTTTATATTTTGAACGGAGCGCTAAATGTATTGATTTTACAATTATATGTTTTTATTTCTTATTTTGCAAATACATTTTTTTTGTCGATTTAGATTTCAAAGCAAAAATATTACTTTTTCAATTCTGTGTTTATAAATGAACATTATTATAATCTCGATAATAATACACACCTATCTGGCCATCTATAATCTATTAGTTATAAATTCTATTCAAATAAATTAGTATTGGACGTTAAAAAAGTATTCTGAATACTGTACTCAGAATACCGTAAAAAGTGTTCAAAATACCGTAATGAATTTGAATACTTTCAAAAAAATTATTTCGAATACAGTATTCGGAATATTACCCAAGTCTGATATTAAATCAACCTTCCGTAATAGGTACTACCTAATAGTAAAAAAAATTACTATAATATTAGTAATATGTCTAATATATTATATACGCATAATAAAATATATTTAGTTAGGTTTAAGCGTAGGGATCTGCGTGGTAATGGATATTTATTAAAATCTTGAATTTTAATATTGACCATAAACATTAGATTGTTGTATAGGCGTGTATAGGATTTCATTTCGGGGGATTGAACCACTAACCCCTCTTTAATATATACGCCACTGAGCCCTATTTACAGGATTTACAAAATCATTTGAATGATTCATGAATACAGCCAATATCGTTCAAACTATAATATGGTATTATTTTCATTCATAAGTTATCTACTTTTACTCATAGAAGTTTCCGATAAATCTTCTTTGGATAATTGTAGTTAATATATTTTTATTTCAGTTTATCTTAATATACAAGTATAAATACCAGTAGATCACAGTGGGGGCGTGGGCCCAGTAGCCTACACTCTAAGCGAATGCCATCTCAAAATTAATAATATATATTTTACGAAATGACAAACATCATCTGACATATTGCACGATATTTAGATATTGACCAAAGACAGCGTGACGGTGAGTGTAGACGCCGTGGTCTATTATCGGGTGTACAACGCTACGAGATCGGTAACCAATGTCGCTGACGCTCACCAATCGACCTATCTATTAGCTCAAACCACATTGAGAAACGTCTTGGGCACCAGGCCGTTGCATCAAATTCTCAGCGACCGAGACGCCATATCCAAGACTATGCAAGTGTCATTGGACGAGGCAACCGAGTCGTGGGGCATCAAAGTGGAACGGGTGGAAATGTGAGTTCACTATTATTATAATTAATATTGTTCCATATAAGAACTGTGTATGAATGTAAGATGATTAAATCTATGTGCACTTGTGAAAAACATTTCAGTAAGGACGTTAGATTGCCAGTTCAGTTGCAAAGGGCAATGGCGGCGGAAGCTGAGGCGTCCCGAGAAGCCCGTGCAAAGGTCATCGCGGCTGAAGGTGAACAAAAAGCATCGCGAGCCCTCCGCGAAGCTTCAGATACTATAAGCGCATCTCCAGCTGCTCTACAACTCAGATATTTACAGGTATGATTTTACTGTATATACCGTTTATATTTTATACCATAATTAAATAGTTTTAATTAATTATTCGTGTTAGGTATAAAAGGTAAAGAATAACGATTTGTGTTACTTTGTTGTAATTTAAAAATATTATTCGTGGGTATATGAAACTTTTAAAATATATTATTATATTTTATACATACAATGACATTTAAAATATAATTTTTTTGCCAAAAATGAATTTAACCTACTATTGTACTAATGCCTCATAGTAAAATAAATTACTTTAATATCAATGATATCAACAAATATACTTAGTAATATTATAGGCTGACAGACCGCCTTCGCTCAGAATTATTTTTTATCATTGAACTCAAATTTGACACCATCCATTACAAAGAACTTGCTTGTAACCCACTGTATAGCAGAGCGACTTCCATTTACGACTTACCCGCTGTTTTTACTTCGGTTATTCAACTTATTTTTAAGTTACTTACTTTTACTGTTGTAGTTTCCTACCTTATGGTACATTTATTGATACGTATAATGTACTTCTATATAATATATTATATAACTGTACAGCCGCTGTTATGCGTATTGAGGTATACTACAATTCATAATAATATATTTATATACCTATTTTGTATTTTTAATTAATGTTTTAAAGTCGTAGTATTTGTATTATTTTTTAATAAATAATCATAATTGTATTTAATTTTCTTTTTCAGACATTAAACACTATATCAGCTGAGAAGAATTCTACAATCATATTCCCACTGCCAATCGATATTATTTCATTTTTTACGAGACCAAGAGAACCACGAGAACCACTAGAATCACGAGAATCACGAGAACAAAGTGAACCAACGAAACCAGATCTGCAAAATCTAACCAGTTAAATGTATACTGAATACTTATCACATCCGTTAAAAATAAAATTAACTTTGTGAATCAACGACGTTCTTCATACGTATTAGGTTTATCAAACATTTATATGTGTACGTCTTACATATTTAAAATAAGTACATATTATATTTTATTATGTATTAGATAATATTATATCGATACGATATTGTCATTATAACCTATAAGTTCTATAAACAAGAATTCGTAATATAGGTATTAGGTACAAGGTACAGGTAATATAAGCCTGCATTTATATAATTACATGGAAAGTATTGAAATACAAAACAAATTTACCTCTATTTTAATAGTTATTATATGAATAATTGAAATGTTTGAGAATTAAGTTATAAGTTATAACATATTTTATCTATATTTATTTTCCATAATATTTAAGTTGATACCCAATATCTGAACTAAAGTTGTATTTAATTATCATTACTATGACTATTAAAATAATCGAAGATCTGGGTAAGTGTTGTCTATAGGCTATATTATTATAGTTATTGATTTATCAATTCAAATGTTTGTAAGCTAAATACTAACAATTCACCAATCTATATGGAATAATATAATATTATAGTATCTATGTTTAAATATTTTATAATATTGTCATCCTTACTGTTAGCATAAAATTATTAGAATGAATTAAAATCCCACAAACAGTATATTATATTATGTTATTGCAATAATGTTATTAATATACCCACCTGCTGATGGTCCATCTAACCATTAACGATTATCGATATAAAATCCTGCAAACGAATCTTTCTATAATTTATTAGGTATATATATTAACTCAATTTTTATTAAAATACGAATTTATTATTATTCAATATTGATTAATGTGAGACAATAATATAACGATATAAGAAGTAAACTTGTATGATTTATACTGTTATTATGAGTTTAAAACGATTTAGTCTCACCTTAAAGTTGTTTTTTTTTAAATTTTGAGTGAAAATATTTAATATCGAATAGTGATATTGTAAATCAAAATGTTTCTAATTTTCATTCTTCCAGTAACAACTGTCAACAATGTATTAATACGAAACATTTTAATACATTAATAAAGGTTTGATTTAGTTGTAGGCTTGAATAACGTAGGTAGTAGGTACTTACCTATAATCTATATACCTAATAAATACGTTTACATATGGATGTTTAGATACATAACATATGAATATATGATACTAGAGCAATCGGATGGTATATGAAGAAATATATAATATTGAAATTATGTACACTTAGCGTAGCTTCCATGCATTATCTTACCCGTATTATAATATAATAAGTAACATTTTTCTCGGACCCTGACTTAAATTCGCCTCAAGAAATTAATTTTAATCTATGTTATAATTTTAAAATGTAATGTTGGTTTATTGCAGTATAAGTTTTCTGTAACGTCGACTACTCGGCTGTATTTTTAACTTGTAAAGCTTGATGAAAAAGAAGTTTAAGCGTTTGTCAGTTTAATCTTTAATGAAAATCTATATACAACATAATATATGTAAATATAAATACAAAAATCAATAGGTATATAGCAAGAACATACGCTACGTATACCGTCTCTAAAATAGTACCTATATAGGAACATATAGACATATTTTATAATAAATATAGGTACTTATTGAAATTATTATTATTATTATTATTAAAATACACTAAGTACAGAATAACTATATTATATTATATTTCGTTAAAAGCTATAATATACATACAAAAATATTAATTGTTTTACAAAATGATATTTAAAAGTCGCATCTGAACACAACGCACGCGCCTCATTAATTACACAATCATTATATTATTGTATTATTATTTATTACAAAAATTACTTACACTTATTTATACATAATAATATATAGTATAAACAGTATACGATATTGTAAATATTATTTATATGAATATAAAACAGACTTACAGTACTTTTCTTATTACATTAAATTGTAAAAAATGGGTCAATATAGTATTGTACCTAACTACAACGTGTTTTTATGTACACTGGCCTAGCCGATTTCGGGGAAGAAATTTTATAGTCATTACTTGGAATACGATGATAATATTTTAAATCAGACGTGATGCATTTATTGTTGTTATGACACAATCGTGTATTAGGTATCAAATAGTATTGGGGTGACGAGTCGTCGTCAGTCATCGTGCTCATACCAAAGTAAAAAAAATATTTTTAAATATTCACAGTTTATACAGTTTGATTGTGTAGTATAGACAATTTGAGCTATTATATTATTGTTTGAAATGCCGGCTACATAACTAACCAACTACGACGACGACGACAATGACTAAATAATACTTAAAAACCGGCTGTGGAGCTGCAAAGGGGTTGGGTCTGAGGTATTTGAGGCTTGACTATCTTCTTGCGGCCCTTGTCGCTGGACGACCTGAACCCGTCGGTAATCTCGTTTAGCGTCTTGCCAGTGGTCTCGGGCAGGATGAACGCGCCGAACATGAGCTCGTAACCGCACGAGTACATCACGAGTACATCCTTGACATCCATCGGGAACATCACACAGCACGCGCTCCACGGTAACGGCAGCACAGCGAACGTGGCGAAGAACACGTAGAACAGGAACGGCACGATCAGCAAGTCGGTGGCCGGCGGGGAGGACACGCAAGCGTACAGGTAACCGACCACGGTGGACATGGACACGCACATGCCCATCCCCGAGACGGTAGTTAGCGTGCGCTTAAGAGGCTGACGATGGTCCCGGCCAGTCGGGCAGCGCACAGCTACACGGCGGCAGTCATGCCGTCGATGGACACGCGGCAGTCACGCATCACGTCCACCGAGTAGAACAGCAGCACGTAGAACCCGGACGCTTGTTGGCAGCAGAAGAACGCGAGTGAGGCGAGCGTGGGCTTCCAGACGGTGGGTGAGGTGTACGTGCCCCAGCAACTCACGTTCGTGTCCATGATCGCACCAACCGTCGAGTCGACCCGAGTCAAGGTGGCCATGACCGCAGCCGCGCAAGGGGGCGGTGGCAGCGTTGGTAGGTCGTCGGTTCGGTTCAGCTGGAACCCGAACCACTTCTCGGCCAGTCGGGCCTCCTCTTCCCGCTTCCGGGACCGCAGCCACATCGGAGTGGAAGTCACGAAGAACGGAGCGATGAAACCGATCGCGCACATCACGGGGTACACGGCTGCTACCGTGCGCCAGTGGAACAGCGCGCCCAAGATCGCGGACGTCATAAGGCCCAGGCCTACGAACAGTGTGTAGATCAACAGGAAAAAGGGCCGACTGTCTGTCGGGCTCGTCTCGGCTATGTACACGTAGATCACGCCTCCGGTACCTGAAACACGACCCGGATAAGTTTTATATTATTACTGTTGTTCTATATTGTTGCTATCGACATTTTCATTTTGGTGAACTATTCAAAAAGTCAAGCGTAATAATAGTTTATTAATGTGACCTTATGACTCCATGATCGATGCGTGAATGACAGCCACTCCCGATTTGTATTTAAATAAAATTAGGCTTAAGTATGTTTTCAGTATAGGACCATCCCATATAATTTATTATAGGTATACCATATTGTAGTAATTTCTAGTATTTACTAATTACTGATATAGTGACGTATACACAATTTTCATATTACGTATGGTTATAATATTGTTAAAATTATATAATTTAAAAATGATGATTCTCCTTAAGAGCCACACCCGCATGTGTTGTCTCAGTCTCAGTCTACAAATGTACAACATAGCAAAAACTGTTTAGAGCTGGACAACTGTTCTCGCGCCATATTTGTTGTAGAACTACCAAATTTTCACAACACGTAAAGAAGAACTTTATCTGTGCAACAGATTGATCTTTTTTTTAAGAGCTCCATCCAATCATTTTTTTATAAGCAAAGAAAAAACAAAATGTTTAGAAGCAAATAACTTTTATTGTAATTACGTTATCTAAAATATGGGTACTCTGTTGTACAGATAAAGTTCTTCTTTACGTGTTGTGAAAATTTGCTAGTTCTACAACAAATATGGTGCGAGAACAGTAATTGTTCCACGCAAAACAGTTTTGCTATAGGTATTGTACATTTGTAAGACGGAGACAACACCTCTTAAGCACTTTTTGACATGTGATACACTGGTACATATTACGTGACAATTCTACCTCATATTACAGCCTACCACACCAAATCTAAGTATTTACTAATATAACTATTAGTTTTAAAATAATTTGTTCTATCTGAATTGTTATAACCATTACAGACTATTATTTCTTGATATGGATATTGTGTACAATTATATATAATATACGGTTTTGTACTTTTGTCAAAAAGCATAGTTATTTTTTTTTTTTATTAAGTTTTTGTATTTCATTCAGAACTTGCTTTACTAAGTATGCACCAAATTCCATTAGGTGAAATAATTTTAAATGTTTATAACTTATAAATATTAACTTTAACTATTAAGTAAATGGTACCTTACAACATTAAGTTTTAATCACGGTAGATTATAGTCTACCGTGGTTTTAATTAAATGCAATACTGCCAATATTATTTTGTGGGAATATTACAAGGACTATAATATATAGTTTACGATTATAATCATGACTAATATTACACATTTATTAAATACGATACTGCAGCATATTATAATATAATAAAAATAATTCATAAACAATCGTTTTTATTGAAAACATTTCTTCACGTACAAAGAAATTGCATTTTATCGTATATTTTTTTCTAATTTCAATGTTTATTCTCATACAAGTACACAGCGCTATCTATAGGCACCTCATCTATCCTTCTCTCTCTTTTTCTCTCCGGCTCTGTTAAAGATTTATGACGTTTATATTATACATATTCATGCACACGCAGCGGCACAAAAGGATCATTTCATTTGGTCTTGTTTACTTTGTATCCACTTGACTTAACGATTATATCAGTTGTCGGGAACTTATATGCTCGGTATAATATAAACAATTTAATTTGAATGCAAATCTCAGCGTTTAAATATTCTCAAAATTATCATACGTTTAAAAAAAAAAGTATTATTTATCATAAATCTCTTTACACAGATTAGATAGATATTCGCCTATGTGATTTCAATGATATTTTTTTTTTTATAAAAATGAATCATCTTTTATCCCAGCACATAGTTCTAGTTTTAAAAGACATCGACTAACGATATTATGATTTTTTTGGAAATAAAATCTTGTATTTATTTTTATGTATACAATTCTATACGGTATAAAAGCGTAAACGAAATACATCACGACCGATACATACAGGAACGTGATGTTCGCATATAACAAGTCGCGAGTATTATAGCGTATATTATTATGCAATATGCGCATGATTTATAAATAATTGTGTATTTGTGTGTGTATAATAATATACTCGTAACATATTGTTATTATTATGTGTATTATAGTGTATACACTAACCTATATTGTAAGGCGTACAGTGTATATATAGTAGCCAGTAGGTTAGGCATGTACGCACTGCATATAATATACCTACATCGGGATACATAATGTTTTTTTTATATATTTTTTTTTTGTTAAAAATCGTGTTCGTATTTGAGCCCACGACAAGTCTTTGTATGGTTGCATATATATCACGTACGTTGTGATTTCGTACACAAAATAACGAAAACGATTTAAATCTCGAGCGCACTTTCTTTGCACGCCGGTTCGGACCAGTGACCGACAATCGTGTCCGTCGTCCGCGGAGATCTCGCGAGCGCCCTCCTTATTATTTCGGACCGTCCTCGCCGGAGTCTTCGCAGTTCGCATTCCGAATACATCGCGAGAATTTCACTATTGCAATACTTATCATAATAATAATATCAAATATGCATATTATACTGTTGTGCTACAGGAGAGAAATCTTGAAAATTAGTCCCCAAAACCTATTGATATTTGATACCTAGTCCATATTATAGTCTCTGCAGGAATTGTGAAACATTTAGTCTCAAAGAAATATATTCAATATAATAATAATTATAATATTATTATAATTCATAAGCATGCGATGTATGCCTGTATGCCTGCGTATAGTAAAGGCTATAAAATAGTAGTTAGAACCTACTTGTAGCCTACAGGCTCTCCTTAGTTAAAATAGACGATTTCGTTTAGACGATTATATTGACTATAGTCATTATTTTCAATTAAACGGTTACATCCCAAAGGGTAAATTTAAATAATATTTATAGCCTATAGGGATAATGTTATCGGATGATAAACTAGTTTATCACTTATCAGCAATGACTAACTTTTGAAACATTTACTGTTTGATACTTAATAGTTAATAGTTTATGATCACGTTAGTGTAATCATTTTCGTATAATCAAGAACGATGTCCGAAATACAAAGAGATTTAAATGCTTCATAAACCATAATAATATAATATGAGATTATGTAATTAAATTAAATCAATACTAACTATATAACATTAACTATTATTATGATTATTTACTTACGAATATGCTTTCGTTTGTCAAATATTGTTTGCAGCTTATAGTTTGTAGGTAATAAACTACTAACATATTTTATTTTACCTATATGGCTATATTATATACTATATAGCTACGTGAAAATATGCATTATTATTTTTATATATAAAAAAATCGTCAACTTAATTAAATATTTTCTCATTATTTGAAATTATAATCTTCTTTCGTATTCGATTTGATTTTATGTAGAAATTAAACAATGATGTATTTTGATATAAATTATAATAAGTCCCTACTATATTAGTATAAATACCTACGTGATGGTTATATAAATAAAATTGGCAACCCCATTTTTTTTTTAATATACCTACGAATGAGTAAACAATTCTATTATTATAGACTATAGTATACTTAAATACTATTTTAGCAAATACAGTCGACCCTCGATAATTCAAACATTCCAAAATTCTAAACTTTCTGTAAATTCGAAATATTTGCTCGGCCCCTTAAAAATGTCTCAGTAATTCGAATTAAAACAATGTATTTAAGTAAACTCGGTAATTCCTAGTAAAATTTTAGTGAAAACTAGCTGTCAACATACTACAATATTCGAAGTTTAGCTAACGCTTGGCAATTCGAAACATATTCATCAAAATTTATTTCTTATAATCTTATTGTTAATAATTTACCTTACAATTATTATTTATAAATTTAGCTTACTATTTCCTATAATTGAAGACCTTGGGGCAACAACGAGACATATCCTTTTTTGAAATTGTTCAACAGACAAAAAAAATATTGTAAATTACAAAAAAAATAATTAGAATTTTTTAAAAAATAGTAGATTTTAGTTATAGGGTACATACAAACATATTATGCACTAGTAGACAGTGCTTAACTTTTAATAATAAGTTAAGGAAGCAATAAAAACTTGTTTGGACATATCTTGTTGTTGCACCAACACAACAATACAAGACATATTATAACTCCATATATAACAGTCGGACATGTTTCATTGTTAACCCAATGGACGTAAATTTTTATTTCTATATTTTATGACGGGAATAAGTGTTTTTGGCCAAAACATGGTAATGTCTCGTTGTTGCCCCAAAGTCTTCAATTATATGAAATTGTCTTCATAACTCAGTAATTCGAATTTGCGCTCTTAATATTTTGAACCACTCAGCAATTCGAACTCTCGGTAATTCGAAATTGTTCATAAGTCCCACCAACTTCGAATTATCGAGAGTCAAATGAATTTTGATCACGGTATAAACTTTACAGACTCGACCGCACCTTGGTCCATAATATATTGTAGGCATTAAGCCGGAATCACAGCTGCGTCGCGTGTCGTGTCGATCAAATCGTATTGTGATTACTTTTTTGGTATCATGTAATGACCAAGGTGCAACCGAGTATACCAAGAATTTACTACTGCTCAACTTTTAAACCATATTGGCTACCAGTAGTAACCATATAATAACTAAGCCCTCTTACGACACGACACACGACGTAGCTGTGAATGCGCCTTTAGGCTGCAAGGTAGATAATACAGTAGACGCCGCTTATAAGACTCACGGATATAAGGTTCAGTCGCTTATTAGACTCAAAATCGTCTGAAACGGTCCGGACGTATCCAAATACATTAAAAAAAAAATCGGTGATAAGACTCAACACTTCGGTTATAAGACTCAAATTTCGTAAAATAAATAGTAGAAAATAAACTTTTTTGGTTATAATTTAGAAATAAATTGGTATTGAAAAATTAAATAATATTCGTGTTGATTATTTCTAGTTTCTGGTGGTACCTTATAACGTATAATAAAAATAAATAATAAATACATTATAATATGTACATACATCCTTTATAATTTTTTATTAATGTATAATTTTTATAATATTTTTATATGTAATATTTACCTATTATAATTTTAGTTTTTTTTTTTATCAGGATTATTAAATTTATTCAATAATAAAGTATGTAATATGTCATATGTGTTAAAGTATTAAAATCAAATCAAAATATGTAGTAAAATAAAATTTAGAAGTACGTAATTAATTTTTTTTTTCCACATAAGAGATTCATTCGGTTATAAGACTCACTTTGTGCTGGTCCCAATGTGAGTCTTATAAGCGGCGTCTACTGCATATTATTTCCTCTTTGTAACCGCAATATTTTCAAACAGTCTAGGTAATACGATCACCACCGTGGCACCGTTTAGTGCTCTTCTCGGTTAAACTGTTTTAGAGTTCCCTGCAGGTTTATGCTTTGCCACTGCGACAAAATTTCAGGAAAACAAGTCTTTTGTATACATACGTCATATAATGTCGAACCCAGAACTGTGGCAAAGTTTTTTGGGACCGGCAGGGGCAAATTAATGAGGAATCCTTAAATTATCTTAATACTATATATTGTATAATAAAAAAATAGACACGGAGATTTTCAAAATCTCTTCAAAACAATTAGAAATTGTCCTAAAACGAGCTTTCGGAGCAGGGACGGACTGGGGCAACTATTCGGCCCGGGAAATTTATATTTTGACCGGCCCTTAAAATGTCGTCATCACTAAATGTAAGACTTAAATATGGTACCAAAGTTTTGACAAATAATGGTTGCATCCTCCACCTACTCATTTTTAATTTCCTCAGGAGACAACTTAAGATTCTCAATGTACCTATTTAGTATTTTATCTTAATTAAATGTACTGCACAGTATTATGTATATATCACTTTTTCTATTACCTACTCTATAAGTGATCCATAACGAATGAAAAAAATAGGTTCGTTTAAACTACTTTAACTTGATTTTTCTAAGAGTATCCTTCTCTCTCTCTCTGATTTTCTCAACCCCACTCTTTCTTTTAGTTTCCATTTTAAACAACAAATAGATAAGTAAATATTACAAAATCATCAAACGATACACTAGTACACTACAATAAAATAAAAAAGAAGTTCAAGAATTCGCTTTTTTGAATTAAGAACGTACGAAACTGTACCTTTAGTTATCAGCTTATTAATTCCCATCAAATTATCACAAATTATCTTTTATATTTTACTATAATGTAGGTACAATATATTTATATTATATTTTTTATTGTGTACAATTTAATGTTAGTTATATTAAGTAAATACTGGCTGGCTAGAAGTGGATACCTATATTAATCGACTGTAGAATAAAGTCATATTAAGTTATAAATAGGGCATGGATATAAATGCAATAAAAAAAACAATGCCTTAAAAATACGATTTTATGCACAGTAACAATATTACAAAGCTTAGTAAAATGCCCAGAAAAATGAAAATCCAATTTAAATGAAAATAAAATAGAACTTAAATAGGTAGGTATAGTCATTAGTCGTTAGTCGTCATATATTGTGTTTCATTATAATCACTTTTCAATCAGAAGCTAATCAATATTTTTGAATAAAAAACTTTGACAGTTAGAATTGGCAAGTGTTGTTTTGTATAACTGAAGTCATAGGAGTAAACAAAATAAAATAAAACGTAATAAAATAGAAATATTAGTAAGAAAAAATGATTTTTAATTATATTAAATTTCTTGAAGGAACTTAAGCTAATAGTGTTTATAAAATTGTATATATACTTATAAAATTTACGAAAAATTCCTTCAAACGATAAAAATGTCATAAAAACGTCAAAAAAATGTTCTATAAATCAGTAAAGTTAAAAAAATACTAAATAAAAATTTAATTTTTAAATTATTTTATGTATGAAATACATTTTTTGATTGGAAAGCAATGTTTAAGAGAATCCAGCAAAAAATGCAATTTATCTTCAAATTCACACCCTAGTAGTTATAAATAATAATTTCTGTTTATGCATTGATGCCGAGTTGCTGGTCAACCAGCTGAACCGAAATCTAAAATCTTTAACACCAAATATAATATAAACATTTTGCACACTCAACAGTTATGATATGAAAATACAAAATATTTATAATTTATATTTATACCTACTGATTTTGTTATAAATAAATAATAATAGGTAACTAATTATTTTTGAGTAGCGGCCCACCGGGAAAGTTCCCGGTATCCCGCCGGCCCAGTCCGCCCCTGTTTCGGAGGAATAAGTGCTGTGTGCAGAGGGTTAAACACTAAGACGCTTACAGTCACTATAGAGTATAGACATTAGAGGGTATGTATACTACATTATACATATTTAATTCCTGTGAGTGCTAAATAGTATCTGTTAACAGATCGCTCATTGTATCCTACCTTATCAATTGTTTGTATAATCAAATACATCGGGTTTTTATTAATACATTTTGCTATAGTGTATAAATGTATAATAATAAGTTAAATAATAATATTGTTTTCGATGAATTTAAATTTCCGTTTCGGCCAGACGATGCCACCAAACGTGCGTGAACGCAGACAGAGTTGTAGTCGAAAGTCAACACTCGACATAATTCAGTGTCGAGGTGTTGTGACGTAAATATTCATCAAAACGGGTATGCTAGTGCCATCTACCTGCGGTATACAGTACTGATGGACGATGATAGTTGATGAATGCGCTGAAAAATGAAAATCTATGTTGGAAATTCTAAAAATCGTTTCGGATAGTCTGTCCAGTGGAATTTGTCAAAAATAGTTGACGGACATGAAATTTTACTCCGAAAACGACAGAATATGACACCTAGACAATTAAGTGTTCATCGCACACGCACTGAGTACGTGTTGTTATCACTCGGCCCGCCGCCGCCGCCGCTGACGCCACCGCCACCGCAGTGGCGTAGTGTCATAACGGACATTTTTGTTTACGTGTCCGCGGTCCGGTGACGTGAACGGTTTGAAAAGTTAACAACAAAGCGGTTAGGCAACGAAAGCAAAAATCCGTCAATCGTCGTCCCAGATTACGGCCGTGCACCGTTAACACTTGTATACTTAACGTTGAAATTCGCGGCTGCCAACGAGTGTCGTTTAGAACTCGTCCCGTATTCCGTTTTAATTCCGCCCGCTTCGTATTTTAGTATACGTTATATAACATACCATAACTAACGTACACAATAACATCATCATAGGTAAGTCCTCGTTTTATTAACGTATTAACCAACCAGGATAGGGTTGTTAGGTACTGCCCCCGTGTCGTTTTTGCTTGCCTAACCGCCGTATTGCCGTATGTTGTTTTGTTTTTGATTGTCGTCGGTGTTGTCGTTGGTGTTTGCATCCGTGTCGCGAATGACTTGACGTGAAAAGCGTATGTTTGTCGGTGTGTTTGTATAGTAAGTACGTTGTTCGTGGGTTGCTCATCCGCCACGCGGGTGTCATGTCGAGGTACCCGACGTTGCGCAGCTGCGGCTACGAGCTGGACCGGACCATCGGCACCGGTGGTTTCGGCAAAGTCAAACTGGCCACGCACACGTTGACTGGTGAGAAGGTGGCCATCAAAATCATGGACAAGACCAAGCTGGGCAAAGACCTGCCGCGCGTCAAGCTGGAGATCAGCGCGCTAAAGAACCTGTCCCATCCCAACATTTGCAAGCTTTACCAGGTGATTGAGACCGAGTCGCACTGCTATGTTGTCATGGAGTACTGTTCGGGTGGTGAGTTGTTTGATCACATTGTTGAGAAAAGCCGTCTCAGCGAAATGGAGTCGCGCATGTTCTTCAGGCAAATCATATCAGCTGTATCGTATTTGCACGACAGTGGTTATGCGCACCGTGACCTCAAGCCGGAGAACGTGCTCTTAGACAGGGAACAAAATTTGAAAATAATTGATTTCGGTCTGTGCGCTAAACCGCAAGGCGGCATGGACAGTTTGCTGTTGACCTCTTGTGGATCGCCCACTTACGCTGCTCCTGAACTCATTCAAGGGGTCAAGTACCACGGTTCGGAAGTAGATATTTGGAGCATGGGCGTAATATTATACGCATTGTTGTGTGGATGTTTACCATTTGAAAGTGACAATATTGACGAACTTTTCAAGAAAATATTACGAGGAAAATACATAGAACCGGGTTGGCTGTCGTCAGGTAGTAAACGTTTGTTGAGACGTATGCTTTGTGTGGACCCATTAAAGCGTATACGAATCAGTGAGTTAATTAATGACCCATGGGTTAGACTTGGATTTGGTTGTCCACCGTCCACAAAAACTCATGATATTGATCGATGCAAGGACATGGAATGTCTTGAAGCAATTAGTCATCATTTTGAAATTGATAAAGAAATTATTTGGTCACGTCTATCAAAGTGGAAGTATGATTGTGAAACTGCTACTTATTTGTTGTTATTAAATAAAAAAAAAAATGGCTCTCCGTTAGTTTTGAAGAAAAAAGAAGTACCTAATCAACAATCAGAACTTATTATAAGAAGGCCAGTTGGTCTCCACACTCCAGGCCAAGAAAACAGAAGAGTAGTTGGACGTGCTGTTCGAAGAAAAATAGATGAAGTGACACCTACTATACCTGCTAAAATCAAAAAAAATACCAATGCTGAAACTCCACAAGCGCAACCGCAATGTTCATCAAATTTAAGTAGTCCTGCTGGAAAAATATTTTCAGGATTAGACCGTGTCAGGAAAGCATTGACACCTAGACGTCGTATTACAACTCCAACACGAAAACAACCTGAAATTTTGAATATCAAAAAAGATTTATGTAATATATCAACTACAGTTTGCAAGGATCCTGAAAAAGTGATGAATCAATTGGAGAAAGCGTTGGCAATGAAAAATATTATTTGCTCAAGGAAAGGTTTTGTGCTTAGGGGCAAATTAAAGAGTAATGTAGCTGATAAGGAAAAATTGAAATTATCTTTTGAATTAGAAATTTGTTTGGTGCCCTCAATGAACAAAGAAAATTTGCCAGTTGTTGCCATTAAACGAAAGCGACTTAAGGGTGACTCATGGATGTACAAAAAAATATGCGAGGAAATTCTAAATTTTACTGGAAAGTGTGAAACTATTCCAGAATAAAACCTTATTGGTTTTTGACTATTTTATTTTTATCTTGAAATTATTTTCTGGAATTGTTAGTATTAAAATTTAAATATAGTGATAGGTTAAGATACATTAATGATTATCTAGTTTACTCTACAGTATTATAAATTTAATATGATTATTTCAAGATGACAAAATAAGTAATATATTAGTAGGTACAGATTTTTCTTCATGTATTATACCTATTTTGTTTATTGTTTTCTGGACCGTTTATTATTACAAATATGTTTATAATTAATCTTTAGGCATAGTATATTTACTTTAATGGTGATTAAATATGTTTGAACTTTTCTTCAGTCACCTAACTCTATGCTTCAACTTTTTTCTTTTGCTTTGTCTACAATTATTATGTTAAATATTATTATAAATTACAATTATTATGTTGTTTTCAACATTTAATATTTAGGTTTATTATGTGAAATAATAATTAATATATTATTCTAAATAATGATCAAAAATATAATAATATCTTCTATTAAATAGATTTAAGTTATTTGTAAAAGTTTGATATACTCTGTAGCTTTGTTATAATTTATTGAAATACACATCTGAATTTCATTAACAAAAAATAATTTTGTGTATATATTTTTTTTAACTAATTAAAAAATAGCCTTCTAATCCTCTAATCATATAACCTACTTATATAGTTTACGTGTATACAAAATGAATTAGTGCTAACTCATGCTTACAAATATGTAAAGTTGTATGTATATTGTGTAAATAATAACATTATTAATAAAATAATTGTTCAGAGTATCAATAGAAGCTATACAGAAGTTATCTCAAGAATAAATTGATGAATTACATAAATCTTGACAATATTTTAAGTAAAATTAGTTATTATCATTAGGTACCAAACTTGATTGTATTTATTTGTATTATTATAGTGTTTGGTTGGTTGGGTTACGTATTTGATTTTTTTTTTTTTTTTGTACATTTATTTTACAGTAAAAGTATTGGATATTTTGATATTAAAATTATTATTTTATTTTAAAAACTAATGAAAAAAATATTTTTATTTGCAGGATGTATTCATTAAAGTCATTTGTAATTGTAGCGCTAATTTGCACGTCTTTAACCGTATCTAGCCAAAATGCTGACAGTCAACAAGCCCGGTTATTAGTATCCAAACAAGTTCTTAACAAATTACTAGTTCAAGACTCTGACATCTTAGTTAAAGTATGAATACATAAAACATTTTTGACTTTTGTACAGTTATAAATTCCAATTTATTTGAATATAGTATACCATTTACAATGTGGGAAGTGTGCCGGCGACAAATGTTGTACTACAGGATTCAGGATTCCCCGATGAAGCATTTGCCACAGTCAAAGGAAATTTGAATATTCGTTTTAACAGAATTCCATCTGGCGCAAATGTTACTCATGCTGTTGTCATCAAACCTCTTACGTATGGGCGATTCAACTTTACAGCTGCGGTTGTACAATACAAATCATCAGAAGGGGCTGAAGAGCCACAATTTGCAATAAGCAGTGAACCCGGTGAAGGATACATCATCAGTTATGCTGAATACGACAAGAAATTCTCCCCTCATTTGGTAAATAATATACTATACCTATTAGGATGTTCATTTTTTTTGTCTAGTTAAAAATATGAGTATTTATAAGTAAGAATCAAGTTCAAAACTATAGTTTATTAAAACAATTATAATTTATTTATTATTGTATAATATTATCTTTCTTCGAGATATTAAGATTTAAAAAATATAACTGTTAGATTTCAAATAAGATTAAATTTGAAAGATATTTTTTTTAACTGTATCATATTAATATGAATAACAATTTAGTTTAAATATTACTAGTATAATAATATGCTATTGTATTCTATAATTAGTATTTGTTTTTATTGTTTCAGCTTGATTGGTTTGTATTTGCAATAATGACTCTGCCAGCTGTGGTAGGACCATTCATGTTGTGGTGGGTTAGCAAGAGCAAGTATGAATTAATATTGAAACAAAAACGTGAAAAAGTGTCTAAAGATTAAAGTTAATAAAATAAGAACCTTTGTACAATTAACATTAAGGATTCTTTAGCTTAATTGTATTTAAATATTTTTTTTTATATGTATCTACTTATAAAAATACCTTGATCATTTCCTATAGCTAATTGGAAATTTATATTTTCGTTAAAGCTATTCTAAAATCCACTTTACAGTTTTAGTAAACAAAACAAATTTATCAACTTTTCATATTGAAAATACACGATCTCGTATCTTTTTTTCATTAAGTAATATCAATATCTGTATTATATATTGCAAAAAATGTAATATACTTAAAAAGCCCCATTTTTATTTTTTAGCAGGTAGGTACACTTTTTATGTTGATTGAATAACGATTTTGTTCTAAATTTATTTATAAATAATATTAATTTGTTTGATATTAAAATATTCTTTTTGTACTAATTAAAAATAGGTGTCATTGGATGGCTACATTTAATATACAAATAACCTTTGTGCTGTGTTCGTTTAAATTTATCTTTGGAATAATATTAAATTTAGATTTTGTTGAAATTTTACAATAAAATATAGTCTTTTTTTTAACTGGAGATTTATAAAATACTCTACTTTTTATTCTTTATTGATTATTAGATTCACTTTATCTCTCGGGAAAATTCATACATTTATTACACCATAAACTTTTTATCATGTGATAGTAAGTAGTGGTTTCAGAGAAAGGCCAAGTGAAGGTAGTTCTTTTGATCTCGTATAACTTAGATGATAATTTAACCCATTTGTTTTCCCATTGGTCATGTATGTCTTTGGCTATGATTCTTTTGACACGAAACATTATACCAGAAATAGTAGTAACTACTGGTACAAACTACAATGTTTCGCCTTTTTGCTGTTTAAGAAGTCCGACATATGAGAGCATTCGGTATAGTGGGGTACTGCGGTAGGGATGAGCTTTCGGATAGGGTAATCGTATAGGTAAGTAAGGCAGGTTAGGTGGAGTTTTGCAAACAATTTAACTCATTATTATACTATTATAGCAGTGTTTTGGACTGAATAATATTTCTGTAACTAGATAGGCACGACTACAATATTAAAATGTTAGAAAACGCGAACAGCACCTGCAATGATGGTATTGACAGTTTTCAAATAGTATATTAGTGTATATTTTACAGTGTACACGCAAACATCTCGTTGAAAAAAACGCGCGACGTCTGACATAATATGGAATTATAATATTATATTGTACTAGGTTGTCGGTAACCATCAGTGCACGCTTCGACACGACTTTTCTGTTTTACCAGTAACTCACTATTATTACTAGCTATAGTGATATACTGATATTACTTATTACTTATTATAGGTACTATTTAAATCGTATCTACAAAATTTAATATAACGCGGCGTTGTGGATATGCAACCACGAGTGCTTATACCATTTTCCCGACGACCGACCTTTATTATACTATATTATGATCAACCAAGCTCAAGTGTAGCCAAGTAGGACTAAAACTCAAGCCCGATTTATAAATAAATTCGAATTTTGGCACCGTGGACGCCGCATCCCTCTTTTCGAAATCTACCGATGCCTTAACGACACACCGAGTCGGAAGAGCAGCATTTTTAAACACATCTAAATGTTTAACAATTTTAAACTGTTATTTTTTTTTCAATTCGTTGATTGGTTTATTAATGTAATATTTCTCGAGTCTTCTCTATCCATAGAAACTTCCTTCAATTCTCTATATTTATTTATTTGGGTAAACGCCCATCCGGGTTTACGTAGGTACACTATGTAGTATCAATATATTTTATACAATTAGTGCACTCGCTGTAACGTAATATGTAAGTAGGTTGTATGTATCATAATACAAAACAAAGAATTACAAAGCAGTACATTATACTGCTTAAATAACAAAATAATAGAATTAGAACTTACAATATAAAATGTATTATAAGATATTATAATATTAGTACCTAATGTACCTACATCAAATGGGTGAAAAACACGGATTGGAAGGATACCTACAATTCCAAATTCTCCAATATTAAACAAATCAAAATTCATTATCAATAGAATTATTGTAACCATAGGATATATGGATGAAATTGAATATGAAACATAGGACAATATATGACAAGATATCACACCATTTACCGATTTCGATAAGAAACATACATTAGCATATTATACAGCCGCTACCTTCGTCTACTGACAAGATAATCTAAACTAAGAGAACCCTGAATTGAACTATTGAAGAAAGAGATATTAAATCGGTAAGGTAAACATTAGAATGCATATTATGTATCTTATATTATGCGATTAAACGTAAAAATCTTCTTTAAAATTCGCCCAAGCGATTCCTGCACCAGCCTTATTTGTGAGGAGTTCCAAATGTCTGAAACGTACTCCAATATTGGTTTAACTAAGGAAGTATACAACATTTTAAGACACAATTTTAAGATCCGTTACCAATATCCAACATAATTTTCTTCATATAAGTGTATATTACTGCCACGGTCTTCCTCTTTCCGATTTTCCTTCAATAATAGAAGTTGCCCATATAATATTCCTTATAAGAAGTCCTATCCACTTTTTTCTTCTCGCCATGATTGACGTACAGATTGACTTTTTTTTCTATCCTAAATGATTTTATTCATTTGACACTCGATCGGTCCAGAAGATTTTGAAAGCTCGTAAAACCATTTACCTCCTACTGATAATACCTACTATTAAAATATTATAATTTGGTTTACGGAATGTAAAATTAAAATATTATATTGATTTATTTATTCTTCAAGAAGATAATGGGCCCCACTGAATATGTTCGTGTGGGGGGGGGGGGCATATTATGTCGTCATTGCAGCAAAAGTACAAAATTGTGTAATCCCCGTGTACACTCGTCGTCGTCTACGCACACTCTCTGCAACCCCGCTCCGTATTCGTACGATTTTATTTTTTTTAAGAGTAGTATTCACTTTTTTTCTCTAAGGCAGCTCACTGTACATGTTCAGTAGGTAGTACCTATGCTGTTGTGTTTTTACTTTTTTCCCTCTATAAATCGTTACGGAGATTATTATTTAAATAGAGTATAATACTAGTAAACAACTAACATGTTTATTATATGATCTCTAATCAGTATAATATTATACTTTAGTACTTAACTGATTATTGAAGTGGGAACGTAAATTAACAATTATATTATGTCACAGTGATCTTCGAAGTGCGATGACTTTGCGGTGGCCTTAAGCCGAGGATCCAAGCCGATTTGGCTTGTAGCTCTGATTATGGTATTTTAAATATTTTACTATTTCAGAATGTACTATTTAATTACTGTTGTAGTCTGTAGACTACGTTCACTGTCCATACGTTTAAATAATGCATTAATCATATTAGGTATATTATATCGACTCAATATCAAATGTTTGTAAATATTTTATTTACACACTGGTAACAGTTATTACATATATATGCATACATACACACAGTAATAATATATTATATTATATTATATACATATAGCCACATAGGGTGGGTTACCGTTATTTGCTCTTTTTTCACATAGGTACGTATAATATATTATTATAGACTTGTATAGTTAGTGTTGAAAAACGAGAAATCGCGGCCAACCTGTATAATATGTAAAAATGAGAAATTAATAATAATTATTGGTTAAACGATCGAAACATTACATAAAACTCAGAATAAAATTATAGGTATAGGTACAAAACGTAATGATATAGTAAATATAGTAATAATAATAACACCGTCCGTTGAAATGAGAATCTCGATGAATATTCTTCCTGAAATCATAAAAAAAAAAACACCGTGTAGATACCAACAAATAGTTATAGATCTTTTGAAAGATGACAAGTGACTACGTATGCTTACTTTTCAAGGACTTCGCATCGACTTGACCGATTCCCGAGATCTTTTCGGAACCCTCCTACCGATGTGCAAAGCCATTTCTCCCAGTTTGATCTCTTTGAACACAGCTATGGCTTCGCGATGACTTAACCCGTGCAACGGCTTGTTATTGACGGCCAGGATTTCGTCACCTGAAACATATAGGTAATATATTATCAAAAACCCTATTGTCATTTTAATAAGTAATAAATAATAATGCATAATATAATATTGTAGTGTTTGTGCGTTTGTGTTTAAGACTGAATATTGTCTGGCCTACACTCTGCCAAGTGCCAACAGCCAGACCAGTGAATTTGAATTGACTTGAAACTAATTTTTTGAAAGATTCGCAACATCTTTCCAAAAACACTTCTATTATGAGTGTTTGTATATTACGATCGATTTGGTATCTCATTAAACATCGGAGCGCAAGACGTTTGAACTTTTGAAGTGTTTACATAAATTATGGGTAGTAAATTCGGTTTCGTTTGTTTAATCGAAACATACATCGACAAATGTCTATGTACCTACTCACACGGTATTAGCTGGTATAAGGTAAATAGGTAAACTTTCAAAATTTACATTTTTATGTATACTTAATTACCACGAATAAAAGATGGAATAAATCTACAGGTAGGCACCAATACACGATTTTTATAAGACTAATTTAAAAAAAAATTAATGTAGCATGCTAATCGATATTTTTCCTCTGTACAACGAAAACCTGTGAATCATAAACCTACCTTCTTGTCAATAAGTAATCGTGACAACGAAAACCTTACGAAAAATAGGTCAGGAACATAAAAAAATATTGTTTCCAGCTCAAAAACATATTTGTCTATAAATATCTAGTAGAATGCTGCCTACGTTTTGTTAGAAATGTATTTAATACAATATTTTGTTTTTATTGTTGATTTGCTTTTCTCTGGCCATAAACAACGCCTTACGAAAATCGGTATTGGACAAAAATAATCGTATTTATGTTAAAAAAAAATCGAAAAATGTCTGCGAGATTCCGATGTTTGAAACTATTATATAATACATTGTTGCAGTTAAAACGGGTGAGCGGGGATTCAAAAAACGATCACGTTTTCGGGTATTTTCTTTCCAGTTTGTGTCGGAAACACGGTCTCGAAAGATTGACCCAAAATCGGATCAGCCCAAACCCTTCGTCGAAATCGCAACCCCATCACGACCGATTTATCCCGCTTCGGTCCCACTATATACCTAAATAATATAGTAATATACTATTGTTGCATGATAATGTGCATTGCACGACGACGGTTCGGTTGCATAACTGCAGTTTACCGGGCGTACTTAATGCGCGAATTGTGAGCACACGGTTTCGACATTATAATCGTTATTATTACTATTATACATTATTATCATCATCGTGCCCGCGCACGGGTAGTTAATTTAACGAGTGTGGATTAGACCGATCGTATTACGAATAATGTCCGGTAACGGGACCGCCGCCGCCGACGAATTACACGACCGACCGAGTGCGTACTGTACACCTATATAATATAGTAATAATATAATAACATATTATAATATCGCAGTAATTCATCGTGCCTCCCAATTTGTCCTATAAATTTTGTGATCGCCAGTCAGCAGTAGCGGTTCGTGCGTTTTAATTAATATCGCGCGCTCTACACCTACATATTATTATTATTATTATTATTATTATTGTAATTACTAATTATTCATTACAGAGTACGGTATATATACATAATATGTTGATTGGGGCGTACACGGTCGTACGTTTTACCATTATTATTTATTATTATACGACGTAGGTATATTATCATGTGTGAGCATCCGGTTTTAATCGGTCATGATCGGAAGTAAATCGCCGCGACGACGAACGACGATTTAACCTACAGATTTGCATGACCGCATGCATCCCTGCCGGATGCGGATACGGTCGGGTGAAAAATAAAAACTACCCTCTAATTCGTCGTATTTTCCATTTTTCCATTACTTGCGCGCGTGTTTCTCTCGGCGTGTGTAATCGAAAATAATTATCATATAATATGCCGGCGGAGAGGATGTTATAATATAGGTACAACATTATTATATAATACCTACTATATGGTCTGTTATAAGCGGAAAAACATTTTGTCGGTATATACTATATTATTACCGCCACCGCGTGCGTTATTTAAGTATATTTTTTTCACGTCTTCGTTTAACCGATTCGTGGAAAGAAAAGTCGAGAATAATAAACGAGTCGAGGGAGCTGCAGTTATTGGACTTCAGACGACGATATAACGTGCGAGATATACGCCCGTCGTAAAGTGTTAAAATAATAATAATATAATATAATATGCTCGTACTACACGGCAATATAATGATATTATGTAATCGTCGTAGTTTAATGTTCAACAGCTTCGACGGGTGTGAGCTTCGGCATTTGAACGGGTAACAACTCCGTTTGACTTTTTCGGTTTCGGGTGAGCTCGCTACGACGATTTATCGTTTTCAAAAGTCACGTTTTCATCATAATTTATAATATGACGTATATCATAAACACCCCGGGTATACTGAAGTCTGTATACAGCCTGAAAGTTGATAATCGTTGCTCGTCGAGCTCTATAATATTATTTAACGGGGACCGATGAGTGTGGATCGGGGGTTGGTGGCGACGCTAAGGCCATCCAGTGTAGACTATATTATATGATAATATATTAAAGTCTCCAAAAAATAAAAGTAATAAACGTATTTATTTTTTCTAAATCGCGAACATGGCGAATACTCAACTATTCTCTTCAGAAATCACATATGATAAAGGTATTGTATTTCCGGGGAAACAGAACACGAGCTCTGTCTACACCTATATAAATATATAATTATAATATAATACGCGATATGACATATATTATTTTTTATTTTAAACAGGGTGCCTCCCCCCCTCGTTTATTCATTTTAAACCAACAGGCGGGAAAACACTGCCGACTCCTCCGTTTATAATAATAATAATATGTAGGTACATTGTACAGGTATTTATATGATAATAATAATAATATCATGTGTTATGACGTTTACTATAACTCTGCACACAATCCTATCACGAACTCTCGTACTCGTACCTATACAATATTATTATAATTACGAGGAAAAAAAACGCGCGCGTGTGACCGTATGAATTATTTATGCTCGCATATTGTATTGTTGTGTGTATAATATTATAATATAGATTATACGGTGCTGCGGCGGGCGCGTGTGTGTCCGTTCGTACAACCCATACAATTCGAAATTGTACACACACATATAATACGAATGTAGTACATTAGTACAATACCTGTGGCCCGTCGGCTGTCTGCCCATATAATATTATACTCTGAGCGCGTATTATACCTATGAAATATGCGACGACGGATGACTCATAATGTACGGTTTTCTGGACGTTCCGGACGTGTCAGCCAGCGCTACAAAGGCGCAATGAACTCTGGTCATAATAGTATTTAGGTATTGATAATACATTATTTTACTGTACGATTAATATAGTAGGTACTATTATTGCCGTCTTCGTTAAAGTGATAAAATGTTATGTTATAAACAGGCGCGTTCGTAATATATAATATCATAGTATAATAATGATATGTACCGATGCATTATTTTGGTACTATATAGTCGCTGACCTATTTTATGCGGTGACCTAAAGATTGTAATCTGATCTACTACCTACTTGTCCATACCTTATAATATACACTTAATAGAGGCGTGCTCGTGTGTTTTTAATAAGGGGCAATATTTAGGCAATATGCAATTTCGTTGCCGCCGCCCATGGCATTTTTTAGTTGTCAATGGTGATTAGTCTGAGTGTGATTGTATGCGGGTACTGGGCTATCAAGCACGCACCGTATAAAATGCATAATTGTTTGCTCTAAACACGATAACAGGAAAAATTCTCATGCATCGTGGTCTGATTAGATTAATTTTTTTTTCGTTAGAAAGAAGAGAATTTTCTACAGAGCGCATTGGATTTCGGTTTTTAATTTCGTTGCTTAGAACAAACATAATATATATAATACAATTTTGTGAAAATTGGTCATATTCAAAATCATATTTTATGGTTTAGAAACAAAATGTTGAAAACTCTAGTCCAATGCGCCTATAAGAAGTGTTTCCTTTAAAAAAAATATCGAAATCGGATCACTCTACGAGGAGTGAGAGTTTTTCCTGTAAGGCATGTTTTTGAGCAAACAAAAAAAAACAGATCACGTGCAGGCCCCTTAATACATGTATCATGTATGTAATATAAACTTATACATAGTCGGTACAATGCATCAACACCCTTGTCGCATTTATTATAGTATCGTCTCTCCGGTAATTTCGATTTACCCACCATCAACTGTTTGTTTTGATGCCACATCGGTATTATTTTATTTTATTAAATTCAAAGGGATTTCTAGTTTAGTCTCTGATAGTCCCCAGTGGTTTTATAGCTCAAGTGGCTCAACACTGTAGTTTTTATATGGTTTACCGTAATGTTCATCGATATTGGTTTAATATTATGTTTTTTTTCCAACGGTCACTGCAACCCTTAGTATTCTATCAACCTTTAACAATTCAAATTTAATATATTAGTATATAGCAATATAATATTTCTGTCTCGTTTTCAACACATTTCTCCTCTTCAAACCATTCACGTTATTGTATACGTGATTAAGGGATCTATAACTTTGGTATAATACCAACACAACTAACCCATAAATTCCTATGCCTTGGTTTGGTAAACAAAACATAATATATATTTTATTGTTTATATAGCTCAAGGGCGGTGGTTCACCAATAAATCCTCACTCCTCTTTTATCCTTTAAAAATGAATTCTTTCAAATCTTTACTTTTATAATTCTTATGTATACTTAAAGACAATATTTTCAGATACTTAGATTTTTCATATCGTTTTAGGAGTGACCTTTGGTGATACAAACTTTTTTTCAACGAGAACCACCTTTTTTCCTGTAAAATTTTGAGTAGGTATAGTAATAGTCCTTATAAGTTATTATAATTGTTCAGCTGCTGCGTCATAAAATATAATATGTAATATTTAGTTTAGTACTATAAAATGTTAAAAGGTATATATTACTATAAGTTATTAAAAGTTTCAAACATCAAAGCTTCCGGATCTTATTTAAACTAATTATCATGGACTATTATCCTTAGGGCAAAGCTTAATAACTTAGAAACTACACTCGTTTGAATATTGATTTAAATATAGGTTGATATTTTAATTAATATGGTCTGCTTAACAATAAGCTTTTGAAGTGATTGGTTCTTTAAAAAAAAATTGTATCACCATAGGACACTCCTAAAGACCTCAACTGCTTAAAAATCCAAGTATTTTAAAATATCGTCTTTAAGTATATATTAAACTATTCCAAAAAGTACAAATCAGAAATTGAATAATATTAAAGCATAACTATTGAAGGTCAACATTTGGGAGAGTATACTGATAAACCACTCTGTATAGGTTATGTATATACATACCCATGATATTCTGAAATTATATAATCCGCTCACAGTGATATGACGTTTCAATAGTTTTGTATATAAATTTCACCGAGCATTATATATATAAATTGTATATTATTATATACACAACACGCAGCCCTTTGCTCTTATTCTATATTATGCATACCTATCGTATTATATAGACATTGTTTATTCATTTATTTATATTATTTGTACTTGTGTTTGCGTGTCGTCATCGACAAAAAGCGTACGGGGAAGACTCGATCAGAGGTACTTATATAATGTATATACAGAGTAGTTGAATTACGGATACAAAAGCCGGGTCTCCGGATGTCCACGAGTTATTTACAATTTAAACTTAGCACGGAATCGTTTTAAAACAGAAATCTAACCATTATAAAGTAACACAAGGCACCAGCTTTAGTTATATAAGTCTGTGTGCCTATTTTGTAATAAAATGTTCAAATTTTATTACCATTTAACGAGATACGGTTTATAGGGTTTTTCGAGCTTGTATCAATATGTCAATCGATCGACTATTCTCCGAACGTTCATAACATTTTGAAATATATATATATTTAATACATATATATTACATGGAGCAACTATGCTGTACTCGCGAAGAGTAATAAGTGTATTGCTATTGAGTAATAAAAATTATTTAATTATGAGATCCGATGAAAAAAAATTACCGGTTTTGTATAATTACTATATAAAACATCGCTGTAATATATATTATGTATACATAGGTGTAATTGGAATAGGTACCCGAGTTTTATATTCGGTGTATCGAATAAAATATATTATATTAATGATATGTCTATGTCTACGAAAATGCTCATTTCCCGATGTATAATAAGATACATTATATTTTTAAAATGCGTTTGAAAAAACGAGGTAATTAAATGTAAACACGTATACTTACGAAAGACGTAGGTACGTGTTTTTTCTTTCAAAAGTACGGAATAATCATAAAAGCTCAAAATCTCGAAAGCGTAGTATAGATACCTACTGTAAAAATAAATAAGCTGAATCAATATAAACCATATATTACGAGTATAATATGATGTAATATTATATGGTGTAATTGAGTTTGACCGAATATCGTACTTGCAGCTTATATTATGCAGAATAAGACAATTTTTATTTTTCGCCGCGGGTATAGTACGAAATGATTACCGAACAAAACAAATATGTGCATTACACACATAAACATATAACACTCGGTGCGTGGCGTTTTATCCTTTTGACAGTTTTATTATACAGTTAATAATTGTTTTATTGTTGGCAGACAGTAATATACTCGTAAAAAACTCAAAAATTGACACTATACATATAGTATACTTACAGTACAATATATATATTGTATATTTGTATAATATGTGTCAGGTAATATTATGAGCATGTGCGTCGTGTGTGCGTGTGCGTATGTTTGCGATTTTATATCAGTCCTTGAATTTGCGATTATATAGGAGCACCGTATAGATATTACCTACATCGAAACTCACGTTATTAGTGCCTACGCCCCGATAATCCTGCGCAAAGCTAATGATATGGACTAAGAATTCTGATGAATTATCGTGAAAATAAAACTTTAGATAAAGTCCCATGCTGAAAACGATATTCGCTTTGATAACTATTCGTAGGTAGGCGGATTGTATAGGTTGTGGTAGGTATAATATGTATAATAGCAATATCGCACGTCATACATTTATTTGCTATATTATAATCCTGAGGTGGGTTTGACGGCAAAGTTTTGAGAGCGCCTAGCCCATATCTTCGAGGTTGGTGGATGATGTGTACAGAAGTAGCTCACACGGGTATATCAGCTATATCTCTATATATTGCTTACCTTGACCGCACCGAACTATCTATATATTTATATATGATCTGATATAATATTATATTATTTATATATATGAAGGTAATAATTGGAGATGGGTTTTCCTTTTCCTTTATCGAGTGCTCGTTCTTACATCAATATTATAATTTATACTTTTCAAAGAGTCCAACACACACACACACACACACGTACGAGTTATAGAAGTACAAATAGTCTGTTGCATCAGCAAAAACAGATGCGAGAAGTGTTCCACAAATACATATCGTAAAACCCTTTTCAATCACCGTTTGAAAGTATACGATATCAGTGTCGTCATTTGGTGGTGGTGCTAATTTAGATATCTTGACCGATCGTTGGTGTTACTGGCTTAACTCACTGTGATTTTGATTATTTTTTAAGTTTCATGTGAATTTTTTTTTTCATATTTAAATAATTTTCTTTTACAGATTAATAGGTAGAGTATATAGAGTATACTAGAATAGTACACTAATAAAGTAATAATAGTCTGTAATTTTTTTAAGGGACTGTTACGATTTTTCCCTTTTGAAATGACGCCACTCCTAACACAATACATATATAATGATTCTACATAACAACTGCAATGTTGTTCGATACACCTCTGGCGTATCGTGAATAGTATAATATTATAATATTATATGATTTTACCTTCTTTCAACGTCTCCTTATCGGCGGCTTGTCCGTTCGGAAATATGGTTTTCACGTAAATGCCCATCGTACCTTTTGGCGAGTCCGTGCCGCCTACGATGCTGAATCCCAAGCACTTGTGGCCCGGGCCTTTGTGGAACTTGACCGTCATTATCGTGAAACACGCATCCTTGCCGCCACCCCGCGGCAACGTGTAGAAACAATTGCCGTCGTTTTTTCCGCCCTGTGGACACGATACACGTTATTAATGACGTCCACGTACAATATATTATTATACAATTGTCTCGCATGTTATTATTATTATTATACTATTATATTATCATTTTCAAACAACCATATCGCATTGTATTAATTCATAACGAATAATACATAAGCGACGTGCGACGGTTTTCGTCGCCGGAAACGGAAATCGTGTCGTAGGTATACAGCAGTGTAGGTATAATATATATTATAACACACCACGGGCACTATAGGCTGCAGTCAGTCGTACTATTACGTCGACAATCTCATATTATGAGATGTATTATAGAGGCGTTGAAAAGTGTTTTAAATCGATTCAATATAGGTAGAAAATATGGAGTAATGGATTACGCGAACGAAACCGAGGACGCGAGGACCGCGAAGGTTATAATATATACTCGCGAATCCAGTGGGTGTATATTTATTATTATTGTTGTTATTACTGTCACGCACTCATACATATATATATTATATATATAGTAATGCTAACCTAATTATTTGTCGAATTCAAATGTGTCTTACACCTTATATGTCGCACGCGCTGTACCTATGTACACATTATATAATGCTCTCAATGCTGCAGCCTGTCAGCATTGAGCATAATATTATAAATTGTATGTGTGACTGCAGCTCGCATATAGGGACGAGTGAGTAATTAAATTTTTTTTTTCTACGGAGGATAAGTTATGCTAGGTGAATATAATAAATAATATATTGTCACTATTTATTTACTTATTTATTAATTATTATTATTATAGTGTATATTATACAATATATTATGTCCACAAAAATTAATATTATTGTATTACTGTTTACCCGATATCGCACTCCAATATAAAATAATATATTATATATTTCTTTATACGAATGATACGAATAAACGACCGAACCTGCGGGTTTGTACTCTTCGAGTGAAAATTATTCATGATATATTATACCTGTGAGGAGCAATGAATATTAAATTTGTGTCTACAGTGAAGTGTTAATCGGAAATTGTTTGTACTTTTACGTGGATCGATGAATTATGTTTAAACCGATTATATACATATACTGATATACTTGTGAAGTATAATGTATAAATACACAAATTATCATATAAAGCGGAGACGATTATCATAATAATAATTATCCGAAATTATCGTATACTATAATATTATAGCGAATAAATACAAAACTCAACTATATACCTACTCTTTTAAAAATTCTAAAGCGCAAAAACATATTATTGTTTTTATTTATTTATTTTTCTATGTAAAAGATTATATTCCATATTAAGAGTATTGCAATTTGCGATTATGCAACGAGCATGTAAAATAAATCAAGATTCAAATCCTATAGCAATATTTAGGTATTTTACCAATAAATATTAAACATAAAATCAGTTTTTTTAATCAAATGTTACCATCCGTCAAAAGGTGAATATATTCACAATAAAGTATACACAGTTTATTTTTTTTAATTTTCAAATGTAAATTGGTACCTATACAACATAAATATATTTTACGTACATTTTGGGTCATGCAGTACAGTAATTAATCAAGCACACAAAAGATAATACATATTATAACTGTTAAAATTTGTTGTCTGTTTGAAATTTCTACAAGGATTCATACTTGACAATTAGTATAATTTGACTATGTTTTTTTTTTTTTTTAATTATTGTTGTTCATTTCAAATCATCTTTAGACAGCGCCTGTTAAAAAATATTAGTGGTAATAATATTTTTTTACAGTGTGATTAGAAAATATTAATATTTAAATATAACTTTTACATTCAAAAAATAAATAGACTACATGAAAAATGAAGTCTTATGTAATAGATATAATCATAATATCATAATTTGTTTGGATTTTATCGATATTATCTGAATTGGCAACTAATAAATTTAATATCAATAAATATTTTAATTAGCATACAGCAATGTTGTATATGAGAATGTTACAGAATATAATGGTAAAAATCGATTATTATTGGAATAAAGATAACACCTGGTACGAGAATAATAACAATGCATTTATATTTTCATGCCACGTTTCTATGGGTAACGATTTAGATCACACATTGTAACATTGACATCACGATTTGTCATCTAACAAATATATAATAATATGAATATATTTATCATAACTATTCATAACCAATGAATATCAATAATCTAACAAAACGTAAGAAAATAACCACAAGACAACGTGACTTGTATATTATATTTTATTTTTGTTCCAATATATTGAAATGCAATATTATCAGTGGTTGAATTGGGGGGGGACGCGGGGGGACGGAGTCCCACTTCTATTTTAAAAATATTTTAGCGTACCCCTTCTAATTTCTTTTAATGGGACGCTGGGGACGGGAATCATATTAAAAATTGTACTAAATTAATGGAAATATTTTTATTTTAGATTCTGAATGAAACGATGAATGTATTAATTTTACAATGATGTGTGTTTTTTTTTTTTTTTATTTATTTTTTTTTTTTTTGTGTCTGTGTACACGATAAGTAGTCGAAATAATGCTTCGATTTTCAACTTCAGTATCTTGTTCGATTGGAAAGTGAATATCGTTGGTGCATTGGGGAGGTTAAAATTTAAATTTCCAGTAGTTTTCAAAAGCGCTGGGAAAAACAAAAGAAAAATTAAGGAAAAACGGGAATTTTTACACAAAATCTGTTTTCGAGAAAATCGATTTTGGTTTTTGGTGTAACTTTAGAACAAATGACCGTAGATACATGAAATTTTCAGTGGTTGTTTATATTTGCATTTTCTATACACGATACCATTTTCAAAATATTTTGATTTATTTTGAACTGTTTAGGGACATTTTCAGTTTCCAATTTTATTAGTTTTTTTTTTTTATGAATATCAATAAAAATTTATTTGTTGAGTAAAAATACTTGAAAATTTAATACAAGGCTCCTACTATATTGTTACAATGGCATTTGAAAAATATTAAAAATCGTTAGTCACAGTTTTTTTTTTAAGCATTTAAAGTTCAAAAAATGACAAAATATGGAAAAATCACAACAATTTGCAAATTATTTCGAGTTAGAAATTCATAAAAATTTTTCTTTTTAAATCTAAGATATGAAAATGTAATACAAGATTCCTTATAAGATTTCCTACATTTATCAAAAAAAAAAATTCTATAAGAAAGTCAAATTAAATTTTTATGAGCGTTTGAAATTCAAATTTTTACAACATTGGATATTCACTCGATTTCTCATGTGGCGATTTCCTTATTTTGTTGTAATTCAAAAACGAATTACTGTAGATACATGAAAATTTCACTGAATTTCACTTTATATTAGCATTTCCTATACACCATACAATTTTGAAAATATTTTGACTCTTTTTGAGTCGTTTACGGACCTTTTTAGTTTTCAATTTTTTTAGTTTTTTTTTTCTATAAATATCAATAAAGTTTTATCTGTTGGGCCAAAAAGTGTAAAAAATTAATACAATGCTCCTGATATATTGTTACAATAGCAATTGAAAAATATTAAAAATACATAGGCACAATTTTTTTCTATAAGCATTTAAAGATCGCATTTTGACTAAATTTATCAAAATCTCGAAAATTATCAATCATCGTAATTAATAAATTATAAAATGTTCAGTTTTTATAGCTAAGGATTGAAAATTTAAAACAAGATTCCACGTAAGTAGTTAATTCTGTTACCAAAAAATCTAAAAAATACACAAGCACAGTTTATTTTTATGGTCATTTTAAGTTCAAATTTGGGACGAAATTACATATTAAAAAACCTAGCATACCTATTTTAGTTATTTTGTTGTGAGTGTATAATACTATTCGTGGGTACTTGAAACTTCTTAAGTACACTATATTATATATCTATGATAGTATCAGGGTTAGGTTAGGTTTATTGGTGTATGGTGTAAAATGTCATTGTAGCGGGAGGGGGACATATGCTACCACTTAACAGTAAGACATTTAAATGTTCGGGGACGCACATATCTTTTATACTTTTGCATCCCCCTTCTATTTTTTTTCCAATTCAAGCACTGAATATTATAATACCTATAGAACTAAATATTTAAATATAATTATATACAATTTAGATACAATATGCATATCAAATGTTATCTGAATAAATGATGACAATGTTAGCAATGTTATCCTCAAAGTTTTTATAGATATTGTACTTAATATTTAAGAGAATATTATTATTAGTCATTATTATATGTTTTTAATTCATAAACTATAAGTGGTAATTTATCATGATGTATAATGCGTATAATATATATATATTGTACAACTACAATTTGTAATAATAACTTGTTTGTTTTAAGGATTGTTAGGATCTTCATTTATTTCGAACATAAATCCAAATCTATTATAATCAATGCGCTTTTGATTTGTTGGCTTTTCTTAAAGTTTTTTGAACTTTTAAAAAAAGACTACGAAGAAAAAATTGATTGAACTGAAAACACTTGTGCAGCCTATATAATATATTAAATATAGATAGTATAATATACTATTATTTATTATTATTAAAGTTTTTTAAAAAACATTTTTTAGAAATTTACAATCTTTATACTTATAATAATCTTACACAATAATATTATACTAATGTGATTTATTTATTTGTATGGCATGCGTAGACAAGTGGAGAAAAACCGTCAATTGACAAAACTCTAAAGTAAGTTTATATGTATAAATAAAGTGAACTATAGTCGACTTTCTTGATAATATTACACTCTAGTGTTCAGATTTTCCACAGCACTCGAAACATTTTCTTTTCAAAGTTATTGAAGGTTTTAATTTTTTCTTTTTTTTCGATTTACTCTGGGCCGATTAACAGAGTAATGAGTGGTAAATTTAAGATCAGATAAATGGTTATTATTTTAATTTAATTTTGTTCTAAGAAACGATTAAAATATTTTTCTTAGGTACTTCTTACTGTATAATTATTAATTAGATACTATTAAAAATAAGTATTGTCTTAACATTTCAACATAGATAAATGGTTTTAAATTTATAGAGTTCCTAACATTATAAAATACGTACTGAGTCCTAAGCGTGTTCGAATGTAATATTTCAATTATTAATTATTAAAACGGTTGCTATTGCATTGAACAAGTATATTATAGACGTATTTGAAGGGGACACTATAGACGTCTTAATTGTCCATTAATTATCCTTAAAAAAATCGCACCAAAATCGATGAAATAGGTAGTAAGCTTATTTACCCTCCAGGCAATTTGTGTTGGTATTCTTAATAGTTGATTAAATTTTTTTTTTTATTGAAATAAACCTATAAAAGAATAAATTAGAATTGATGACTGTTGTTGGCACATTGAAATAATGTAGGTAATGGGCATTCATTTTATATTTATGACACATCATTTATTTATTTGAAATTAAGAACCATCGATTATCTTAAATACCCATATAGCTACTCTAAACGAATATTCGACTTATTAAATAATAATATTCGCTGATAAAATCAAGTGTTTCTGTTGCTTAATATTATAATAATAAACAACTATATATGTAGGTACTGATCGCGATATTTCAGAAAGTTTTACACTCTGAGCTCGTAAATTATTTGTAAATAAACATCAACAAATCGTAAAACTAACAATATTATAATAATTATGTTATCGTTGGAAGTATATATTATTGTCGTAAAGGATATATTATATCGTGATAAATTTTCAATAAACTTATACATATATTATTATAATCGTTTAAATCGAGTAACCCAACAAAACTGTGTACAAAAGTCCTTGAACTGTGTAGTGTGTACCGTATACGCACAAGCGAGCACAAAGTATTGTAACAATACAAAAACAAAACAAATGTATATACCTACGAGCACCTATAAATTATAAAATCAGTTCGCGACCGCATCCGTCGTCACATATTATAACATAGTCGCCTTGTCTCACGTTATATGTTGTTTATATACTGCCGGGAAGACGACTGCCTATATAATATGGACGAGGTTTCGTGTGAATTTCACGTCACGTGTAAAAATATAATATATTGTGTCGCGTTTATTTGGTTCGCGCGGAAAGACAAAAACACCTTATTCGTCTAATTGTGTGAGAGTATAAACCGCGAGCGAATTTGCTGTATCGTAAAAAGGACTTTAAAACGTAAAGCCGAGCATAGGTATAAATATATATAGTGATAGTACCTACTCTATAATATACGTAGGTATATGTGCGTATGGGTGCGATATAATATAATTGTATATATTAACGGTACGTTTTCCTGGCTATAGATCGTCCTGGTATGCTGTATATAATAACACGTGTGTGGGAGTGTTTGTGTGTAGTGTGTGAGGTAAGTAATGGGGACGTATAAAATTGTACTAAAAGTTTATATTATTGTACGCAGCGTTCCCTCGATCGATTGACGGGGACAAGTCAAAAGTGCGGACGGACGTGTTTAAGGCGACCAGATCAATAACATAATAATATAATCTTTTAGAATTTCCGCAGTAGATTTCCCCTTCCTTTTACAGTTAAAAGAAAAATAGAAACTGCGCAGATTATTCAAGTGTTAATAATCGTGTAAAACGTATTTAATAATATAATAAGTGTACAAGAGCCCCAAACAACTGTTGTTATAATATGTGATGACTTTTATACAGACCATGAGAAGGACTAAGGATATCTCCAAAAATCAAAATGGTCTAACCAATAAAATGCGGTGTTTTGAAGAGTTTATAGGGATATAATATAATATTATTATAGAGACTTATAAATTTCAGTAGGTATGCGCAGAACGGTTTTCAAAGGATGAGCTGACAGACGACCTTTCGGAGAACAAAAATCTTACCTGCAGATTGTCGAGATGACAATGGCCCGCCGGGACGACGCCACTGCCGCCACCACCACCGCCGCCGGAACCGGGGACATTGGCGCCGGCTGGTGACGCGGTCCTCCCGTTGAACGTGCGATACGGGTTCCTGCCACTGACCCTTGTCGAACCGTTCCTTTCCAGCCTGTCGGCCTCCTGCGTCCGTCTTCGATGGCGTGCTCGTTGCTCGTCCCACTGCGACGATTCCGGTATGACCGGAAGGTCAGCGACGGTTCTCTCCGAAGGTGGCGGTGGTGGCAGAGGAGGCGGTGGTTTGTGCATCAGTGGCGGTGGCGGTGACGATCGCGGCGGCAACTGTTGTTGCAGGGACGGTAACTGTTGCTGAACGGGCGGTAACTGTTGCTGCAAAGATGGTAACTGTTGCTGCAAAGATGGTAACTGTTGCTGGGGCGGCGGAGTGTAGGCCTGCTGCAGCGAAGATGGACCGCCTAAACGCGGACGACAGGAGCCGTGCCCGGGCGCAGACGTGGACACGGCACCGCCGATCCTGAACGCTTTGGCCGTCAGTGGCGTGTCCAACGCCAGCGAGTCGGCTTGCGACCATCTCCGGCACGATCGCATCTTCGGTTTGTTCTGCAACAGTAGACTGCAATTGTAATAGTCGTCGTCGTCGTCACCGTCACCGTCGTCGTCGTTGTAACCGTCGTCGGTGTCGTCGCCACTGCAACGCGTTGGTAGCCGCGCCGCGTTATTTACGGACCGTCTGACAACGAACGAATGAGGTCTACAGCTGAATCTGGAAACGATCACATGAAAGGTCATAATAGATAAAATTAATAACAATAATTGTTGTTCGACGTTCGTGTGTATCATATAATATAGTCTTCATTGTATAAGTGAAAAATACAATATAACAAAACTTCTGCGTTTGTTTTTTAATATTACCTATTATGACTATTATTAATCGACACGCCGGGGCTACGTGCAGATATTGTGCCAACAAAAAACTGTACACGTGTGAACACCACGACCCAATACCGTTCCGAATAAACAACAAAATAGCGATTTGCAACTATATAGGAAGTTAAAGTTCTCAATATTTTAGAGTCTTTTTACGATTCTAGTAGGTACAAAATGTACATACCAGATTCCTAATAAATATAATCAGGGGATGGTTCTCGAAACGTGTCACACGTGCAAATGACTCGAATATACGCAGTACTTTTTGATATTGAAATTGAAATTTCGTCATTTAAACGACCAAAAAAAGGTGTACAAGTGGGTGTCGCTCTGCTGTGCAGTAGATTTCAAGTGGGTCACTGTAGTCTGTAATGGATGGTGTTAAATTTGAATTCAATGATATAATATCTTTGTATAAGGAATACGATTTTGAGCGAAGACGGTCAGTCAGCCTATGATATTACTATTAAGAAGAGTATTATTACTAAGTATATTTGATGATATTATTGTGAATAAAGTAATATATATGATAACCTATTTACGTGGAACCTTGTTTTACATTTTCAACCCTTAGATACAAAAGTTGAACATGTTGTCAACATTCAAACTTTAAATAATAAAAAAAAAATTTTGCCTATGTATTTTTAATATTTTTAAACTGCTATTGTAACAATATACCAGGAGCCTTAAATTAATTTTTCACGCTTTTTTACCCAACAAATAAAATTTTATTGACAATTATAGAAAATAGTAAAAATGCTAATATATATAATATATAATATATTATATATATTCAATCAAAATGTTATGTATACTTAAACCAATAACCAAAACTCGTAAGAATTTCCGTTTTTTTTTAAATTTTTTTTTGTTTTTCACTACTGGACTAACCTCTCAAAGTACCAACTAGATTCACTTTTCTATCAGAAAAAAAAATGTTGAAGAAAATCTAAGTACTTTTACTGTCCTAAAAGGTGAAAAAAAAATCAACATCATAAAATCAATACATTCATCTCTCCGGTCAGAATCTAAAATGCATCTCAAACTGTATTATGTGATTAACTGAACTAAAAAATGTTCAATATAGCAACACGGATCAAAAAAATTAGCTTCCCGTCATTGTTATTTGTCGATTTCGTCGAACGACGATGTACAAAGGAATGTTCGGTTTGCTGCTAACATATAACATATCAATTTATGTCTTGTTAACAAAACAGGCGTCTGCACACGTGATGTGGGTACTCTGTTTGGCCGACGCCGATAACATCGCATATAATAATATAATACATTATGTAGTTTATTGTATGGGGTAAAATAAAATCGAGGTGATTTTCGTAGAAATAAAAACTATAAAAACTTCTCGACCTTTATTATACCGAAATAATTCCCCATCACTGGAGATTTTCGTACATATTATACACGGGTAATATAAAAGTGAAAACCACGGGGTGTGCGTACGTATGCGATTTGCCGATTTTTACGATATTTATAGGGTGCTTAAAACGGTTATAATAGCCCGTCGATTCGGTATGGCGAATTTAATATATTTTTTTCATAAAATTCAAACAATTATTGTTGTTGTGTTGAAATCGTTGTAATTATTAATATATTATTATCCAATATAATATTAAAAAACGTGTAGAGAGAAAAACAACGTCACGCGTTTAGCAATGGAAATCGGTTTTTTTTTCGATAGGATCATCGTTTCGGGGACACTCGTCTACGGACATTGTAATAATATTGTTGACTTGTTAAAATCGATTTCCTCTATTGTTTTTCGTGGTCAATCGCGACCTTGTACATGAACAATACGTAATTCAATAAGTCATAAACAAATCGCACAACCACATAATATACGTTAGAACGTACTTAGAAACACACACACACACACACACACACACACACACACACACACACACACACACACACACACACACACACACACACACACACACACACACACACACACACACACACACACACACACAATACGTATTAATGTTGAAATGCAAAGAATCCATTGCGGTGCACAATGTTTTCGGACCCAATACAGTCAGTCGGATAGCGCCGTCAACCATGCGGAAATCGGTGGTCGTCCTAATTTAAAACGCATATAACTTTTGAGGAAACCGTATTCGAAATGTGTATTTGATTACAGCCACGTGGGTAACAAAGTCGTAACACAATTCTCTCCGACGAAATGCCTAAGTGTGCAAAGAGATTGATGAGTCAAATTTGAACCACGGCTGCCGAGTGTCGTGAGTTTTGATTATTATGTGCATTGTATATTGATAGCAGTGGCGTGGCGTGGGTATTAAAAAGATGTAAGCAGTGAAATTGTTTTTTCAAAAGTGATTAGAATATACTATATAGGTACTATACCTAAATACCTAATTATAAATTATGTATAAAAAAATGTAATAAAGAGAAAATAAAGAAATTGAAGTATAAATACTTCAAAAGTCTAATAGGCGAATGACAGTGACAGCAGTGTACGTAAAAACGACTACAGTCTACAACGCGTCGGGCTACGTACGGGTCGCTCCTATTGTTTCTCGCGTAAGCAAAATCAAATGTGCTTACAAACGCTAGTTAAATACGTGACCCCCACCATGGCATTATAGACTATTCGAAAACAACAGTTGCGCGTAAGCAGTTTCAGAATGTGTTACACTGTATATCGTATTATGATTATGCAGTTAACATAATACAGAATGGATTAAAAATAGACCTACAATCGATGATTTTCTTAAAATGTTGGTAATCAGTAGACAGCGTACTACACAAATAATTAATAACCAATAACAAAAACCACTACCAGCTATATCTTAAATATTTTATAAATAAACTTAAATTTTTAAAAATCATTTATTATGTCCCTATTAGTCGTGAATCGTGATTGATCAAATTTATTTTTTCTTTCATTTAAAGTGTAAGCAGTGCTTACAGTGCTTACATGCACGCTACGCCCCTAATCGATAGGTACACGTGTAAATAAGAAATGGAAAATATTCATAGTATGATTGTTGTGGCCCGGCTTACCAACAAAACTGTTTTTCTTTCCCCCTAATTATGCTAAAATATGTTATCTGCTATACACGATTCCTAATTTCGTGAGTATTTTTCTCCCGTCTCGTTTGTATATACGATTACACGTGCATTATTATCATATTATATAGTATTATGATTATTATTATTCATTAACAAGAAAAGAATACACAATAGAAAAAAACCGCGTGTTGATTAAAAAAAAAAAATTAAATAAATAAAGTACACACGAGTGGAATAAAATTGCTGACATTTATATTTTTTTCCCTCGACCCACGTAGGATTTAATATTGTGTAGCCCACAATTTTTTTTGTATTAATAAAATATTATGTACGATAAGATTACTACAATATCGGATACTCACACTCGTTTGGTAATTAGTCACTAATTACTAATAATTATCATAGCGTTTATTCGTACGTTGGTTTAAATGTATTTATGACGTGTCTCTCTCGCTACGTCCATATCTGAAGCCATAGCTTTTCCCACAGTATTATTATTATCTCAGTCGTAATCTTCTGATTAAGATAAAGTCAAAATTTCCCAGGGGGGAAAATCAAACTGAGACCATAGTAGTGCGCTGCGTGTAACGACAAACCGTTATTTATTACCATTTTTTTTTGCACTCTTTTGTGTGTGATTGCGCATATATACATTGTACCGATTCGATCAATTCGTATAGAATTTATTTTTGACTTTTATTGCGAAAGACTGCGCACCTTTACATGTCCTATTCATAATTCATCGTGATGCTTTTTGATGCTTGGCATTTCTCCTCGAGGTTCCTACATTACGGTGGTATAGTAGGAGGGTTGACTGCAGGGTGCGAGTGAGAGGGGGAGAGAAATAGAGAGGTGGTGAGAAAGCGAAAGGAGATGACATAGTATATAATATTATATATATGTGTATTATAGTAGTTCTAGAGATATTTATTTAACTTGTTGGTTACCCCAGGTGTTCTCTTTTATCTTTATGATGCTTATGTATTCATATTTTTGAGACCCCATGCAATTACTTAAACAAGTAGAATATTTTGTGCTCGAGTTGTGTAGATTTATAGTCCTGGAAATGTATAGGTACAACGGTATTCGCGTATAATGCGGGTTATTCATATAATCATATCTATCAATACCATAATTTTGTTCTAGACGTTCGTTATAATAATATTATGCACAATAATCACGGGCAGAACTATACTTGGTATATTGTAATTATTTTTTTTTTGTGAAAGTCTGAAATATATTTTTATTTTTTTGGAAACTTACACTCTATAATTATTATAGTTCATAGTTTCATACATTTTTTATTTTGGGAAGGCGGTTCTATTAGATATTTTTGGGAGTTTCTCCTATGATACTATAGCCGCTTACATGTTACACAATCACAGCTTCGGCTACAATTATTAATTTTATCGGCGTGTATATATAACTAAGTTAAACTAACGATTATCGTTCTTAAATAGTATTTTATAGATACAATAATAAAATTGTTGTAATCTACTTTACATACTGGACAGTGGACACATTCATGCTTAATTGTTCTAAGTGTTTTTTAATTTATGTATGAATCATTCGGTGGTTATCATAAACCTGTTTTTCTCGAGTAATACAGCCACTCAAAGTTCACTCACATTGTACAGTCAAACAGTGACTCTTATGCGTCAACAGACAACAATAATTTAGACGAAAACACATATTTTAATGTTGTGATGCTTTGAATAGAAAAAAGAAAAATACGATCAATAAATAGATATCGTTAGATTATTATAATATGTGTACCTAATGGACGAAACAATTTAAACGTTTGTGAAACTAAAACTTGAAACACGTATTATAATTGTATACGATTTCGAAATATAAATATATTAACCCACGATATTTTCGAAAATACCATTTTAAGTTCAAGTATTCAAACCGTTTGGATAAATAAATTTTTTTCTCGAAATATTTACATTAGATTACATAATATTAGGTATAGAATGCGTATTCGAGCTTCATATAATATGGTGCAGGATGCATCCAACGCAGGTTTAAAGTGCCTCAATATATAGTTAAATTACAACACAATAATATGCTGAATGTCTATGCGTCTGGCTTATACGTAATCGGTATACGTTTGTATCAAATATTATATTATCGAGAGAAAATAGAATTATACATAAATATTTTAGCACATATTATATATAATATTATATTGAACAACGAGAGGTGGGTGGGTCGTCCAATAAAATCGGAAATTCAGAACCATAATATTTATATCTGGACCCGTTGTAGATTATATTACTTAGGTTAAAATTCAGATATATATATAGGCATATAGCCTCATATAGGCATAAATCGGCCTGCTAACAATATTTTTAATGCAAACTTCACGCCCCTGCAGTAAACCTAATACCTATCACCTATGCAAGTAATCGATAGACTTAAGCTGCGGTCACACGATGATAGAAAAACGCGATAGTTGCTATAATGGTATGATATTATAGCATGCGTGATAGTTGTTAATAGTTGTGGATAGGGTGATAGTAACAATCACGGAGTTCGTACGGTGACAGTACGCTGCCTCGAAAGCAACTATCAAGCAACTATCGCGTTTTACTATCGTCGTGTGACCGCGGCTTTAGAGAAACTATCGCACTTACCGGTCGGCGTCGTATCCGGTGGCCGTCGCGGTGCTGACGATGCTGTTGTAACCGTGGTCGCTGTACGACACGGACGACCGGTCACTACCGGCACCATCATCGGCGGTCCCACGGCCGGACGAACCGCAGGACGACGGCGTCTCGGCGACGCGGCACAGCGATGACGGCTGCAGCAGCCGGTGGTCGGTGGACAGGTCGAAAGCGACGGGCAGCGAACACGGGCCCGCGGTGTCCACGTCCTGTCCCAGCAACGGCGACGGCACGTAAAACGTGGACGACGTGTCCGAGGCCAGGCTGTTCGGGTGCGTGCTGCCGAACAGTTGCAGCTGCGACCGGCGCTTGCAGCCGATGTTCAGCATGTTCAGTCGGGTGCGCAACATGTCTTGCACTGTGGTCGCGGCCGTCATTGGCGGCGACAACGACGCTGTTGAGTCGTCCGACGACGACGGTGACGGCGGCAGCAGCGGCCCGTCCACCGCCGCCGATTTGTCCTTGGCAGTGCCCGTGTTGAACGACGAACACCGACGCCGGATCTTCCGCCACTTTTGTCCCATGTTCTTGTTCCACAAGCTGACGTCTGCTGAAACACCGCGAAAACGACAGTTAATATTAGTTATTACACATGACGGTGATCTGTTTAAGTGTCTAGGGCCTATAAACTCCCAATTTCGAAATATCTTAACAATATTTTTGAAAAGAAATAATGATGTTTTTTTATAATTTTCTATCGTTATTATTTTTTAAGTTTTTACTTTTTTGAACGACAACGTTCATTTTTAATTTGAGAAGCAGAATCGGAGTACTTCGTTACAAAAGATTCGAATTTCGAACGAGTTGTTAATTAGCTATACAACTTATTTTAAAGTTTCCATGGGAAGTAGTGGATCAACATTTTGCGGCAAGTGGGAACCACTGTGCCACTACTCCGCTTATCTCAACTTAAAATACTTGTAGCTCGGAAGTTGTTGGAATTTGTTTTTTTTTCTACTATATAAATCAGTTAATTAGTTAAACATTAGTTTCATAATATGTGTCCATGCAGGATTAATACACAACATTTTATTTTGTTTTTTGAAATTGTTTAATTTAATAGATTTTTTATACTTTGAACTCTATTTAAGACTGATTAACTTTTCGCAAGAAATGTATTGATTTCATATAAATTTTATATATATTGAATATATAAAATGGATTTTTGAGTATGAAAAATTGCTTAATTATTAAGTCTTTTGTATTTTTTTGAATGGCTAACATTTTTAATTCCATATTCCAAAACAGAATATTTTTTGAGGTACCCCTGTGCCACTCTATACCGATCATTAATACTTTAAATAGTAAAGTCATAACTAAGTAACTACTCGTGCGAAATTCAAATTGTCAAATATATCTAAGTACTCCAATATTCTGATAGGAATATGATAGGATATGAATGGAAGATAGTTATCATTTAAAAAAATACTTAAATGGATAACCTTGTGTACCTGGAATTTTGTATTTATAATCCATAATTGATTGTATTTTATATTATATTATATAATATTATATTAATTGTCGTTCGATCTGAAACTCAGCATTATTACTAGGAAGGTATATATTATATAACCTATATGGCTATATACTATGATATTATGATATGCGGTAGAGCGTCAAGATGGATATATTATCATATATATAATTATTACTATACGGGTAAATTATAGGTTCCTAGATATCTAGACATTTTTCTCGATATTCCTAGACAAACTGACCAGTAAATAATGAAATGTGAATTAGAATTTATATTAAAAGCCGTCAAATCACAAGAAATATATTATATATCGTGTAGTTATGACTTGTATTATAATCATAGGCGTGCGCAGACTTTTGGTTCCGGGGGTACACACTAAAAATTAGGGCCCACAATAATTTTGAAAACAGTTATAGATACAGACAAATGTTTTAAAGATATCAAATGCACTAAAAATATGTATTTTATTTTATTATTCATTCTAATAAATATTACATAACGATACATAGATACACAATCTTATAATGAAAATCGACGTTTAAAAGGAACAACATTTTTAAATTCGTCAATTATTTCTTTAATTTAATTTATACTTAATTAATAATTAGGGCCCTTGTCGTTTTTGGTGAAGGGTCCTGGGGTGCCCAGGCACCCCCTGTGCGCACGCCTATATGCTTATAATAGTTATAATTGTACGTATGTAGTTGTACAGGGTTATGATGTCATAAAAATGAGTCTTTTTTGAGTTAATTATTTAAAAATGTATCGACACAGGTAACTATTATAGCTTTTACCCAGGTTTGGGACCATTAGGATCACCTTATATATTATAATATATGTATAGGTAGGTAGGTACTTTAAATTTAATACGATTTATTATCACCAAACGAGTGTTGGGATTCTTTTTGAGCTTCTTCCCAAGTCTAATAAAATAATTTACGTTACACGATAAATGCCAAAAGCGACATTCGTACCTTCTACAATGAATTTACAACTCATGATGTACCTACTTAATGATAATATATTAATATTATGTAGAGTAAGGACTTATCCGTGTACGTTGATTATTATATCAATTAAAATATACTTATTTCACGATAAATATAAAATGCGAGAACAACGTGCGTCATACGTGGTTTCAATTGTGTTTATTTATTTAATTCGTTCACGGCGGCCTCTGCAGCTTTGGTAAATTAATGTCCCCCAATTTCTTAGGGTGGACCCGATGAAACTCGAGGTTTGTGTCCGTCGTCGTTGTTTTCATAACTCGCGCGTGTGCCGTGTTGTACTAGAAAACTATTTTATAATAATAAAATGTACAATAGGCGGTTCAAAGGAAATAAAAACTAATAATAAGCGTATCTGGGTCGGCATGGCGTGTTAATTGCTGTCTCCTCATTACATCACACGTTTCATTAGGCTCCGATGTTATTATAAATTATTATAATTATTATAATATATTGTAAACGATGATCGTACACCCAAGTACGCAATGCACATTATAACCTAGCGACGGTGTGGTCCTTGTACATGCCGGAAAGTCATTTTCGTAACACAAAATTAAACATTAGGTTTAAACAAAAAGATAGTATACATAAGACGTGTATGAAGTATTTAAGTGTATATTTTATAGATTTCTCAAATTATAAAATTGTATCTTAATAAAAAAAAAAATTTTAAACTATAAAATAAAAACTAGTAAAGTAGTAATAAGAAGTTTTTAAATCGACCAAAATAAAAATTACATAGCAAGACATATTATTTATCAATGTATTATAACATACCTACTTATGCATTACCTAACGTTGAAATAATATTTCAGTTATTCGTATTTGCAAGTATAATGGTTCGTAAAGGTACTTACTAAGTAGTTGCGACTTGCGAGTATGCTTTATTATGTATTTATGTGATTTTTTATTCTGTCTTAGTTATGAATTTTCAATGATAATTATCGTTGAACTTACAAACGAAAACTTCTATAGGTCATTTCATGGTTAAAAGAAAAATATAATGCACGATACGGACGTTTAAAATCATGGAAAATATAGCTTATCGATTGAACAAATTCATTTTTAAATATAATCAATAATCATGCACTCAAATTCTTTTTTGTATGGTATTGTATCACGACTGCTCGTGCAAGGTTTGAATTATATGCATTTTAAACTGTTATAAATGATTAAACAATTTAGCCAATTATGATAAGAAAATCAATTACCATAGTATATAAAGAGATAGGACATTAATATTTGTTGATTATTTTTTCAGTGAAAAATGAATAGATTATTAAAGATCAAAATGTCAAATGAACATATAAATAATTCTCATAATGTGCATATAAATACACATAATATCTAGATAACAGATTTACTGACGTGTATCATACGCCGATATTTAGATTTCTTAAATTCTAAAATAAGTATAAAACTTGGAAGGTAGGTAGGTACCTAATTTATTGCATATTGTATCATACACATTAATTATTTATATTAGACGTGACAAGTAATGTCAGTGTATATTTATGTATTATTTAGTGTTGTAGTGGATTAATTCATAAATTAAAATTAAAATAATACGAATCAGAGTGTTTTAGGAATAATAATATTAAGAAAATGAATAATGCAACAGTGTTCGCACATTTTGCGTTGCCGGTCGGCGGTCGTTAAGTATATTGGGAACGACCACGACCAGAACTTATGATAATTAATATAATATATATATTATACAGATATGGGAATAAACTATAATCGTGAAAGAAACACATGTCCCGTGTCCCTGTAATAGTATGTTCTGTCTTTTAGCTATACTGTACATCGGTATCATTTATTATAAGCTATAACGGTTCAGATAATCTCTTTATGTGTTTAAAATATCTAACATGTACAACGCATAACAGCTGATTTCTAAACAAAAGCGATCATTGATTAACATAATCATGTTATGTATATATTCTAATTTTTTTTAAATAAAAATAAATTCAATAAAGGCGTTGGCCCCAAGTACCTAATACACATAAAAGAAACACACACATATAATATGTCATGTATATATATAATATACTGTGAAATATGACGTATATTATGCAATATAATGGAAATATATTATCAATATTATACATTCAACACTGATTGTATTAGTATTTGAGATTTTTCGTCTAGTCGATTTATCATAAATCATATACGTTTTATAAACATTTACTAGAATGTGGTAGGCGAATAAGGAATAAAACGTACAATATAATATTTAGATACTGAAATGTCGATGAATGATGCTAACTAATCATTAGTATGGGCTTAAGAAATGTATTATAGTTCTGACACCGATCGCGAAGAGCAAAACAAAATATCATAACCACACGAATGGATCGGAATCGGGTTCGTGGTACCTACCTATACTATGAAATATTAGTTAAATACTTGGAGCAATTCAATACTTGGTATAATCGTGTAAAGTTATCGCATGGGTATCCGATTATAGGTAGGTAGGTACTATGTGTGTGAAGTTACACCCAAGTACCCAACACGACGACGATCGTCCAATAATTCTCGTGTGAAATCCTTTTTGAACTATTTAATATCTTAATAAAATAATATAATATTGCGTGTAAACGGATATTGAAATCGAGATTGATTATTAATGATGAATAATATCTTTCTTTGACAAGATGCGTTTTATTTCTCGATTCTTTTTTAGGAACATATTATACGAACACATGTGACATTCATGACCGACCACCGGGTTGTTGGTTAATAATAATATACATTTAGTAACGGACGACAACATATGCCCGTATGAGGCACCGCGCTTCAGCACCGACGTCATTCCGTATGATAATTATTGTTATTTATTATACACACAACAGATAAAGATGATCTAGGTACGGAGATATTACTCGAATGTTTAGAGATCCTATTATCCTAATAAAAAACGACATTTTTCATTTTTACGAATAAACATAATATATTATTATTATTAATTTAACTTATTAAAACACATGACTATGTATATTTTTTTTTAAACAAAACATTAGATAGGTATATCTATACTGACCTCGAAACACACATTTAGAAACT